ACATTATATGTATGTGTGTTATATGTATGGGCATTGAACTCAGCTCATCAAACTTGGCAGCAAAGGCTGTCACCCACTGAGCCATCTCACTTAGCCCTTGTCTTGAGTGGAGCATTTAGTTGCCTTGCAGATTTGCAATTTTAGTGTTAGGTTTTAGTTTTTTTAATAAATTTATTTGTTTGTTGTTTTTAGGCAAGTTCTTCTGTATAACCTTAATTGGCCTGGAACTCACTATGTAGACTAGGCTGGCCAGTAACTCAGAGATCCACCTGTTTCTGCCTCTTGGGCCCTCTTACTTCTCTCCACCTCTCCTCTGCTTCTTCATCTCTCCCTCTCTTCTCTGCCTCTCCCCTTCTCTGCTTCTTCATCTCTCCCTCTCTCCCCACTTCTCTTTCTCCTCTGCCCCACCTCACTTTCCATTGTCTCTCCCTTTTTCCTCTGCTTCTCCTCTCTCCTTTGCCTCTTCATCTTTCTGCCTCTTCTGCTTCTGGAATGATGGTTGTTTGTTTTTTGAAACAATGTTTCTTATAGCTAAACTGAATTTGACCTCTGATCTTGTACTCCTGTCCTGCCTCCACCTACAGAGCCCTGGAGCCACCATTTCCAGTCCAATGTAATAATCTAAGATATATGTTAGTAACTTTTGTAACCTTTTTAACAGAAACCCATCTGGGAAATATACATGTTTAGTATAGATGCAAAAAAATTTTAAATTTCTTTCTAAGCTGTGCTGTATTAGTGGTCAAGCAGAATATATGAACTTGGTTCTGTAAAAGTGCTAAAGGCTTTGTGTACTGTTGTTGCATCCTACTCATGGATCAGGAAGGGAAAATCATTTTAGTAGGAAAAGGATGACTTAGGGTAGGAAAAAGGGTCTTAGGTTGTTTCTGTGATACAGTTCTTGAAATTCTCTTGGGCTATTACTAGCTTAAGTATCGTACCATGCTATTGTGTTATTGTGAATCTTTGAAAATTATGTAGTAGGAGTTGCTGTGTTGAAGGGATGAGTAAGACTTCAGAAAGGTCTGAATAGTTTCAGCACAAGACCCCCAAATGTCTTTGTTTCTTTCATCTTTCACGTAGTGTGACTTAGTGTTTCAGACTGATGATTTCTTTGATAGCCCACTTTATTGGCACATATTGGGAGATAATAGATTTGAATGCTCTTCTTATTCCTTTGAATGTAGTATGTATTTGTATTCAGTGTATGAGTCTACCATACACTGTTATTTATTTATATTAAACAACTCTTTAAACTGTGATCACCTTTCCTAGAGTATTCTACTTTTTAAATAATTCACCCTAATTTTTAGCATTATTACATTGAAATGTGTTTCCTGAGATCTAGAAGGAAGTATGTGGTACATGCCTATAAATCTAGTAGTGAAACAGGAGGACAGATACAAGTTTGAGGCCAGCTTGGGCTGCATTGTGAGATCCAGGCTAGCATGGGCTAGATATTAATAACTTGTTTTAATCTCCCTAAAATGTGTTTCATCAAAAACTGCTCAATTCTGTATTTGTCTTTTAGTCTGAATACTAAATTATGTCAAAGGTACTTGGGTTTGTTTAACCCAGTAACTGGATTAACTGTTTCTGACTAGAAACTTCATATTCTTTTTTGATTTGTTTTGTCTTTTGAGCAGGGTCTCTAAATAGCCCTGGCTGTCCTAGAACTCACTATGTAGACCAGGCTGGTGTTGAACTCACAGACATCTGCCAGCCCCTAGATTAAAGGTGTAAGCCACCAAACTGGGCTTCGTAGTCTCTTACTCAGAATTATGCTTGTCAAGTATTGAGACTAAAGATGTTTTGCTAATACCAGAAAAAAAATAACGTTGCCATTTTCTGCCACATTTATTTGTTTACTTAAATATTTTATGCTTATGAGTTTTGCGTGTACATATGTGTATGTGTGTGTGCGTGCGTGTGTGCGTGTGTGCACATCTTGTGGTACCTGCAGAGGCCAGAAATAGGAGTTGAATACCCTGGAACTAGAGTTGCAGTGGTGACTACCATGTGGGTGTTGGCAATCAAACCCAGGTCCTCTAAAAGAGAAATACATATTCTTTTGTTTTGTTTTGTCTTTCTTTTTTGAGACAGGGTTTCTCTGTGCAACAGCCCTAGCTGTCCTGGAACTAGCTCTGTAGACCAGGCTGACCTCAAACTCACAGAGATCTGCCTGCCTCTGCTGGGGTTAAAGGGTGTACCATCACCACCCAGCTTGAGAAATACATATTCTTAACCACTTAACCATTTCTTCAATCCCTTATTTATTTTTCTGTATCCTTTTTATCTGTGCTAGAGACTATCCTTATCCATGACTGATAAGATGGCTTAGCAGGTAAAGATGCTGGTCACCAAGCACCAAGCCTCTTAACCTGAGTTCATTCAGTCCCTAGAGCCTATGTGTTGGGAGGGGCGTGTTGGGAGGGAGAGAACCGATTTCCACATGTTGTCCTCTGATCCCCACAGGTATATATGTACACACACACACACACACACACACGTGTAAATATTTAAACAAGAAGAGTATCTGTGTTGGCTGATTTGTGTCAACTTGTTACAAACTGGAATCATCAGAAGGGAAGAAGCCGGGCTGGAGAGATGGCTCAGAGGTTAAGAGCATTGCCTGCTCTTCCAAAGGTCCTGAGTTCAATTCCCAGCAACCACATGGTGGCTCACAACCATCTGCAATGAGGTCTGGTGCCCTCTTCTGGCCAGCAGGGCGTACACACAGACAGAATATTGTATACATAATAAATAAATATTAAAAAAAAAAAAAGAAGGGAAGAAGCCTCAGTTGAGAAATCCTCCATGAGGTCCAGCAGTAAGGCATTTTCTCAATTAGTGATCAATGGTGGAGGGCCCAGCCCATGGTGGGTGGTGCCATCTCTGGGCTGGTGGTCTTAGGTTCTATAAGAAAATAGGCTGAGCAAGCCACAGGGAACAAGCCAGTAAGAGCTGCTCCTCATGACTTCTGCATCAGCTCCTGCTTCCAAGGTCTTGCCCTGTTTAAGTTCCTGTTCTGACTTTATTCAATAATGAACAGAGCAATATGGAAGTGTAAACCAAATAAACCCTTTCCTCCACAACTTGCTGTTTGGATATGGTGTTTCATCACAGCAATAGAAACCCTGAGTTTACCTTCCTTCCTTTCATTTTTTTTTTTTTTGAGACAGGGTTTCTCTGTGTACCCCTGGCTGTCCTGGAACTAGCTCTGTAGACCAGGTTGACCTCTGCTTTTGAAGTACTGGGATTAAAGCTTTGCACCACCACTGCCCAGCTGACTTTCTTTTTAAATTTTGTATTATTGTAATATGCAAATAATAATACATATTCATTCTTAGTACACTTTGACCTTTGCTTCTGATTTTGTAAATTAGCTCTGTGTTTTATAAAATTGATATTGACTATATTTTTTTCTTTTTTAAGTTAGGTGCATAGTCTGTTTGTCTCTGTCTCTCTCTAGAATTAAGGTACATGGTCTCTCTCTCTGTGTATGTGGAAGCCAGAGGTCAACATCAGGTGTTCTTCCTCTTTCCCGCTCTACCTCATCTCTTACTGAAATTTGCTGATTGGCATGCTCGGATTACAGACACACTGCTACCTCCAACTTACATGTGTGCTAGGGAACCGAAGTCAGGTCCTCATGCTTGTGCTGTAAGGACTTTCCCAGTCTCTAGGTGTGTGGCTTTAAAGAATCATCCTTCCTTAAGACAATATTGGCAATGAAGAAAAGTTTTGCTCTTTTACTAATATGTAGGCTTTTGTTTAGTTGCTTATTTGTTTTAAGATAGTTTGCTTGGCCCAGTGTGTCCCTGAACTCAATGTGATCTTTCTGCCCTGGTCTCCCAAATTCTGGAATTATAGGTTTGAACCATCATTTCTGAAGTAGAGGTACTAGTTTTTCTTTTGTTGGGAAATGTGATTGACAGTCATAAGTTGAAATGTCTTAAGCTTTCTGTTTGACAAAGGAAGCCTAAGAATTGTCAAACAAGATTATATTGAATAGCATTTATACAAATTTGATCACTTTGCTTATACAATGACTACTATCATCCTGAATGTTCATTTTACTTTAGTAAGAACAAGGCATGGTAGCACACACCTTCATTTCTAGCAGGCAGAAGCAGGAGGAGTTGAGACCATACATAACATTCCAGATGAGTGAAATCCAGTCTCAGAAATAAAACAAACAAAAAACCCTTTGAGGCCACATTGGGTATGTGTTACTTAAATATGCATGTATTAGGAGATCTAGTCTATTTTTAAAATACATACATATGTAATTGATTTTATGTGTATATATATATATATATATCAACATGTAAACTTTTAGTTTGATATGACATAGATCAAATATTACGTCTGACAGATTGGGGAAGAATCAGCAAGCCAGAATCATGTGATCTCTGGCATAGGAGGTGTTTTGAGTATCAAAACAAATGAAGGTTCTTTCTACCACCTTTCAAGCACTTGTATACATGTTTTTAGCTCTTGGAGCTTTCTTTTGCTTGCAGCTGTGAAGCAAACTAACCAGTAATACTAAAGAACAGGCTGTGAGGTTAATAGTAGTTTGAAAAGCTGATTTGGGATGTTGGTCCCTGTGGCTCTAGGGTAAGATACTCTGAGAAGAGGAATAATCTGTCCATCACTTTCCCTTCCTTGTTTTTTTTCCACTGGTCACACGAAACTGGGGGTGATATTGGTGCCAGCAGTTTAGGGGGTTACCCTTTCCCTGTTGCTTCCGAGAAAGCAAATAAATGTCCTGATTCAATGTTCTTGTTCTTACTAGAACCTTGGAAACAGTAGGCAAAGTAATTATTAAACAGAAAAGGAAAATCTCACTTGGAGTACATATATGCTGCTTGTTACAATAGCTGCCTGTGTTTGAAGTCACTTTAAATCTTTGATTTTCTAAAATGGGTAATTTCATTAATAACATCACTGTTTACAACCAGTGTTTTACAATTTTAATTTTCTCTTTGTCTAACTAGATGTGATGCTGACCCTTCAGCCCTAGCCAACTATGTTGTAGCACTGGTCAAGAAGGACAAACCTGAGAAAGAATTGAAAGCCTTTTGTGCTGATCAACTTGACGTCTTTTTACAAAAAGGTAATTTTTGTGGGCCTTTAAGTATTTTAGGCAAATATTTCTAATTTAAAACTTCCTGAAAGCAGCCAGGACTGCTGACACATGGCTGTAATCCCAACAGTTGGGAGACTGAGGCAGGAGAATTGTGGGTTTGAGGCCAACCTGGGCTTATCTACAGAATTTCAGGTCACTTGTACAGAGCAAGACCCTGTCTGAAACAAAACAGAAGCAACACAACCAAACTTCATAAAGGCATGAGCTTAGGGGGGAAAACACTTGGGAATTTGTGTGTAGTCCTTCCTTGCATACTGCCATGTTAATCTCTGTATCATTCTAATTTTACTGTATGTGTCTATGAAGTGAGACACTTTACAGTAAAGTAGTAAGGGTCCTTTCAGTACTTTAATATGCCCATTCAGAATGCTTACTTATTTGTTATGTGTTTAGGAAGGACAGGTTCTTCCCGTCCTTCTTTGTTTCTTTCCTATATTGAGACAGTGGCTCTAATACTTGTTGGATTCCTTGCAGCTTTTGGTAATATTTAGTTGATGATTGAGGGCTATTTAATGCTACTGGAGTTGCTTTCTAGTGCTTTTGTATGTGTGTGTGCGCATGCCCATGTATATATATTTATTATATTTATAATCACGCATGTGCAGTGGGTACACATAAGTACTTTTGGTGAAAAAGAGGTCAACTCTGGTGTCATTTCTCAGGAACCTTCCATCTTGTTTTTTTTGAGTTTGTATCATTGGTCTGAAACTTGCAAAGTAGGCTAGGCTGGTTGACCAGCAAGCCCCCAGAAATCTTCCTTCTCCAGTACTGTGGCTGCAAATAAGTTGTCACTATGGCATGGATTCTGGGTTCAAATTCAGGTTCTTACACTTGTATAAGAACTATCTCCCCCGGGGCTGGAGAGATGGCTCAGAGGTTAAGAGTACTGGCTGCTCTTTCAGAGGTCCTGAGTTGAATTCCCAGCAACCACATGGTGGCTTACAACCATCCATAATGAGATCTGGTGCCCTCTTCTGGCCTGAAGGCATGCTGGCAGAACACTGTATGCATAACAAACAAACAAACAAACAAATAAATAAATATCTTTAAAAAAAAAAAAGAACTATCTCCTCATCCCGGAAACTGTGTACTTTTGCTGTTAATATAATACAGAGAACCCAATGTTCTTTCTCTCTTGGCTGCGGTATCTTGAGGTCCAAGAAGAATGAGTATGATTTTCTTATTTTTGTACCTTTAACTTCCCATTTTCAGTTGGACATGAGGTGCTTGCCTATGACTCAACACTTGGGAGTTGGAAGCAGGAGGATCAGAAGATCAGTTGCCTTTTACTGGGCTGTCTTTTTACCAACATCCTCCAACCAAACAGAAATCGCAGGAAGTTTTTCTTGCTGTTTCCTTGATAGTTCCTGCCCTATCCCACCCTTACCCAGTCTTCCTCTACATCACACTGCCCACCCCTCTGTCTTTGGATGTCAGTGAGTGTGTCCTTACTCAGAGCCCTTGGCCGTGTCTTTTGTTTGCCTGGAAGATTCTTTCTCATCCTTTTGATTTCTTCAAATGTCGTCTTGACAGCATTCCCCAGTGTAGTTTGTGTAATGTGGTTGTCCCATATTCCAGTTACCCTTTCCTCCTCTCAGTGACGCTCTATTCCCCCCCCTTTTTTTTAGATTTTATTTATTATATATAGTGTTCTGTCTGCATGTACACCTGCATGCCAAAAGAGAGTAGCGGATCTCATAATGGTTATGAGCCACTGTGTGGTTGCTGGAAATTGAACTCAGGACCTCTGGAAGAGCAGCCAGTGTTCTTAACATCTGAGCCATCTGTCCATCTCCAGCCTGCTTTATTCCCTTTTTTAAGAAAGACTCTCAGTATATATCCTGGGCTGACTTTAAACTCATAACATCTGCTTGCCTTGTGTCTCCCGAGTACTGGGATTAAAGGCAGGTACCACCATGCGCCTTATTTTTTTCATGGCACTTGTAACACCCTATATATTTGCCAGTTTATCTGCTTTATCCTTGTTTGCTTTTCCTTTTCTTGAAACCAACAGCATTTGGTATATAGATTTTGAAAAATTGCATTCATTTATTTATTTTGTGTGTGTGCCATAACATGCATTTGGAGGTCAGAGGACAACTTTCAGGAGTGGTTTCTCTCCTACAATGTGGGTCATGGAGATTGGAGTTAGGTCAGCAGCTTTGTGGTAATGGCCTTTACTCATTAAACCCACTCATTAGCCCTATTTTTTTGTATCCATCCATCCATCCATCCATCCATCCATCCATCCATCCATCCATCCATCCATATTGAACTGTCTTTCAAATTACAAAAGAGGTATGTGTGAAAATACAAGAGTATGAAGAAAGTTGTTTATAAAATGTTTTGAAGAGTCTTAATTTATTACCTTAAAGTTATATGTTACAGTCAACAAGAGTTAACAGTTTTATTTTTTTCTTGTGTGTTTCTTTATTGATAGGGACTCATATAGCACAGGGTATTCTTGAACTTGTCATGTATTAGAAGATGACCTTAGACTTTTGTGAACTCCTGTTCTTGCCTCTACCTCTGAAATACTGGGATTGCAGGCATGAATCACTAAGCTTGGCTTACTGTTGATTAAACCCAGGATTTTCTACATAGTGAGCACTCAACTACATCTCCAACTATATTTTTAGTTTTTTAAAAGTTACTTTTATTTTATACGAATGAGTGTTTTGTTTGCACATATGTCAGTGTGTTGTGTGCCTGCCTGGTGCCTGTAGAGGCCACTACGGGTTTCCAGCTCCCTTGGAACTCAGTTATGGGTGGTTATGAGCAGCTATGGGGTTTCTGGAACCAAACCTGACTCTTCTGTAAGAGCAGCAAACAAGCTCCCTTAATTGCTGAACCATCTGTCTAGTCCCTGGGTTGTGTTACTTATTTATTTGTTTGTTTATTTATTTATTTATTTATCCATCCATCCATCCTTTTTTGGGGATATCACTCGAGTACAGGCTGCCCTGGAACTCATTAAGTAGTCTAGGTGGGTGATTCTTCCACCCAGCCTCCTGATTATAGTATTAAAAGTATGAACCATGTTCTACTTCAGCTAAAAGTTTTGCCATTTTGAAAAAAAAAGTTTACTTATAAAGTTAGTATTGTAAAGGAGTTTGTCTGAAGATGCTTTTCTGAGATAAAAGTAGTTGGCATTTTAGAAATGTAAAATACATAATAATTGTGGTATCATTACCCACAGTGATGCCTTCGAAATACCCAACACTCCCTTGAGTTGGGAATTGAACCATCAGGGCAAGCCCTCTGCCACTGAACAATACCCCTTTAGGTGTTCCTTAGGTGAACCTAAGGGTAACCAATGAAAGTTACATTTAATTAGAGTAAAACTAGAAATATTTTTACATTTGTGTTTTCAGCAAAACTACCTGTTTCTCTCATTTTATTTGTCTGAGGAAGTTTCAAATAGACCAAAACATGGAGTTGAGTCAAACACAGATACTGATTTCAACCCATTCAAACCTACCTAATTCGGTCTTTGAATAGGTAGTGCAGTCTATCCAACACATAAGGTTATACTGTGAGATTACTTCTTCCTATTCTACATAGGCTTCTTTTCAATCTACAGTACACAGTTTGTCATTTTGGTTTCTTTGAACAGATAAACACACTAAGTTTTCGTTTATATCTTTAGATCTGATATTCTTAATAGGTCAAGAGAAATTTTGTAATCTCTTATTTGATAATTTGTTAGTCTCTTGCTTATAGAAACTTTGTTTCTAATCTTTTGTTCTTAAGCAACAAAATCTTACACATTTCATTTGCAAACATGCAATTATGTTTGAAGGATTTAAAAAGAAACAAAACCTCTTCAGGTGGGGATGTCTGTTCCTTTAAGGTAAGTCTTGGTTTTAAAAGCCTGACAGCAGCTTTGAAGATACCTTGTTCATCTAAAAGCATTGGCAACAGTGTTTAAACTTTGCATTTTTGTTTGTATAACATTTAAATATTTTTTTTCTCTTTAGAGACTTCAGGTTTTGTGGACAAGCTATTTGAAAGTCTTTACACTAAAAACTACCTTCCACCATTGGAACCAGTTAAACCTGAGCCAAAACCACTAGTCCAAGAAAAAGAAGAAATTAAAGAAGAGGTAATACACACACTTCTTAGATTTTGTTACCAGGATTCTCAAGTTTAAATTATTTTTATTTTTATTTCTTTGTGTTGTGGTTTTGTTTGTTTTGTTTTTTTAGACAGGGTCTGGTCTTACTATGTAGCCTTGCTGACCTTGAACTTAGAGAGACCATGCCCATCCTGAAATTTTTTTTTCAGGCATGGTTTCTCCCTACACCTAGAGGTGGATTTTCTTAGCTAGGCTACAAACCAGCAAGCCCTAATAATTTGCTTTTCAGTGTTGGGTTTCAGATGTGAACAGGATGCCACATTCATGTGGGTGCCGGCATCTGATCTCAGGTCCTTGTGATCAAACAGCAAGTACTATTAACTGTAGAGCTATTTCTTCAGCCTTCAGAGAAACCCAGTGGTTTCTAAAAGAGGAAAATTTGGTTACATACAGAGGCTTAAATGAAAGTATTAGTGAAACTTCCAAGATAAATCATTAGGCAATATACTGTCATGTATACAGAGAAATGATTTACTCTTTTAACTACACTGTCAACATTAGAAAAATAAACAGAAATATTGTTGAAGTATACAAACATGATTAAAGATATCGAGCTAATGGGCTAGAAAGATAGCTCAATAGTTAAGAAGTTGACAGAGCATATTGCTCTTGCAGAGGTCGTGAGTTTGGTTCCAAGCACGTTCATCTGGCGGTGGCTTATAGCCAGTAACTCCAGCCCCAGGGCATGTAATGCCTTTGGCCTCTGTGGGCACCTGCACGCATGTGCACGTACCCGCTCCCACAACATAATTTTAAAAAGATACCAACCTAATTGCTTGCTTGAACCAGTAAAGAAACATCATAGCTTTCATTTATAGTTCCTTTTCTATATAAAGCAAACAATATTTGATAAGAATGTGGAGAAGAGGTTTGTTTATTTTTTGAGATAGGGTTTTTCTGTGTAGTTCTGTTTGTCCTGGAACTTGCTATGGAGACCAGACTGGCCTCGACCTCAGAGATCTAGTGTTGGGACTAAGGGTGTGTGCCACTACCACCTGGTTGTAGGATAAGTTTAAAAAAATATTTTATTTTATTTTTTGAGATAGGGTCTCATATATCCCAGGCTGGTCTCAAACTCACTGAGTGGCCTAGGGTAACTTTGAGCTTTGCTCTTTCTGCATCCACCTCCAGAGTGGTATCATTACATATGTTACCATACCCTGTGCTGGGAACTGAACTAGGGCCTTATATATGCCATGAAAACACACTCTGAACTACACTCCCAGCAGTGTTTATTTAAACTAAAGTTTTAGTCATCTGTGTTGAAGGTGACCTCAGAGATCCTCTTGCCTTTTACCTCTTAGAGTGCTGGGATTAAAAGCATGCATTATTACCACCCAACTGGAAAAGAGATTTTTATGTACAAATATAGGTAGTCTTTAGTCCAGTACCAGGAACAGAAATATCTTCCAACTTATTAAAGAAATATTTTTTATTTTTATCAGCTATAAAGTTGGCTTAGTGGTTAAAAGCTCTTTCTTGTAGAGAACCTGGATTTGATTCCCACCACAAACATAGCAGTTCACAATCATCTAGAGCTCCAGTTTCAGGACATATATGATACACAGATATATATGCAATCAAAACATTCGTACACATAAAATAAATCTAAAAAATGATTTATTTTTATTTTATGTATCTGTCTGCACAGTGTGCATGATTGGTGACTACGAAAGCTAACAGGGGATGTTGGATTCTGAGCTAGCTAGTTTACTGTCAGCCTGACACAGGCTAGAGTCCCTGGTGAAGTGGGAACCTCAATTGAAAAATGGCTCTATGCTAGTTCCAGGACAGGCACCAAAAACCACAGAGAAACCCTGCCTTGAAAATCAAAAACAAACAAACAAACATAAAATAAAATAAAAAATAAATAAAAGAAATATGGCTCTATAAAATCCAGTTGTAGATGCGCCACTGAGTGGGCATTGGTGGTACACACCTCTAATCCTAGCATTTGGCAGATAGATCTCTGTGAGTTTGAGGCCAGACTGGTGGCAAGTGCCAGAACAGGCTTCAAAGCTACACAGAGAGAACCTCTGTCTTGAAAAAATAATAATAATTCAGCTGTAGACAAGCCTGTAGGACATTTTCATAATTAGCGATGGTTGGGGAGGACCCAGCCCGTTGTGGGTTGGTACCACCCCTGGGATGGTGGTCCTAAGTTCTATAAGAAAGCAGACTAAGCAATCCATGTTGAACAAGATAGTAAACAGCACTCCACTATAGCCTCTACATCCATTTTTATCTCTAGGTTCCTACCCTGTCTCTCTTCATTAATATATTATGATATGGAAGTGTAAGCCAAATAAACCTTTTTCTTCCCTAAGTTGCTTTTGGTCATGGTGTTTCATTACAGCATAGTAATCCTAACTAAGATGGATCTCCTGGAACTAGAATTATAGTAGTTATAAGCTGCCATATGAGTTCGGGGAACTGAACCTGGGTCCTGTGCAAGAGCAGCTCTTAATTGCTGAGCCATCTCTCTCTGACTCCTGTTTTTCAACTTTTAAATTTTACTTTATTCTACAAACGGAATCACTTAAAAAATCTTTTATTTATAAATAATTGTAAATTTACATCAGAATTATCCAGGTAGCACCCACAGCATTCATGATGCCTGCCTAAATGTGTTATTGAGGATTTGCCCCATATACTTTCATTATATGCCCATACCACATTTTTTTTTAAAGTCATTGCTCTCATAAACCATAGCCCTTTATCTCTTTGCAATTTCTAGGAATAAGAATTTTTTTAAGGAGCTGGAGATTAAGCTTAGTTTGTAGAGTGCTGGTCAAACACCTGTAAACAGAGACTATTATTTGTTTCCTGGCTGCCCAGACCCAAATAATCACACAAAAACTTTATTAATTACAACACTAGGCATGTTCCTAGCTAGCTCTACATCTTGAATTAACCCATTTCTATTCATTTGTGTATCACCACAATGTGGCCTACTGGTAACATTCTGGTGTTTGTCTCTGCAAGCTACGGGAGCGTCTCCTTGACTTTGCCTACTCTCTATATATCTCTGTTTGGATTTCCCGCCTGGCTTTTACTCTGCTAAGCTATTGGCTGAAACAGCTTCTTACCTGCCTCAAATAACTACAAAGATTTGTGTTTGAACACTAGTATCATATTAAATCATATGTGATGGTGTACATGCTTGTAATCCCAGCATTTGCTTGGCAGGGGCAGAGGAATCAGAAGTTCATTTGTCATCCTTGGCTATATAGTGAATTCAAGGACAATAAATAGGATGAAACAAGGGATACATGACATCATGTCTCAATAAAAAGCTGGAGAGATTGTTCAGTTGGTAAAGTGCTTGCTTTGTAAACATGGGGGCCATTTAGATTCTGCCCCCTCCCCCCCCGAACTCTTATACAAAACCCTAGCTGTTATGCCTGTAACACCAGTAACCTGGAGGATGCCTGGAGCTTGCTGGATACCAGTCTGGTGGTACCAGTGAGCTCCAGGTTTAGAGAGAGCCTGTATCAAAGAATAAGGTGGGGAGTCATAGAGGAAGATACCAGACATAGACTTTTAGCCTCTACATTTATACACTCATGTGGTATCCCCACCTGTGTACACACACCCAGAGACACACACAAACACACACACATACACACCCATGCTTTAGGATAACTATAGCACCATTATCAGTTTCAATATATTTAATTTTGATGTCATGTACTATTTCAGTTTTATTAGTTTACCCAGCAGTGTTCCTTACTTATAGTCTGTTCTTTTCCTTTTGTATGGAATCATTCTGGGATTTGTATGTTGTTTAGTTGTCATTTCTGAGTCACTTTAAACATTTTTTGAGATTTATTTTTGTTTTGTGTATGGGTATTTTGCCTCCATGTATGTCTGTACCATGTGTATGCAGTGCCTGAAGAGAGTATTGGAGCCCTTGAAACTTGAGTTAAAGACAGTTAGCCATCATGTGGGTACTGAGAATCAAACTCAGGTCCTCTGGAAGAGCAGTTAGTGCTATTAATCAAATACTATATAACTGAACTGATCTGACTTTTAAATTAAGATCAGCTGAGACCATATCACTTACTTTGTTCTTACATAGTGCTCCATAATTTTTTTATGTATACTTTTTAAAATTATTATTTTATGTGTTTGGGTATTCTGCCTACATGTGTGTCTGTACACCATGTGAATATAGTGAATATATTCCCTCAGAGGCAAGAAGAGGGTGTTGAGTCCTCTGGGACTGGAGTTACAGGTGGTTTGAGTTGCCATGTGGGTGCTCTAAATTGAACCAAAGTTCTCTGGAAGAATAACCAGTGCTTTTAACCACTGAGCAATCTCTCCAGTCCCCAACGTACATTTTTTTGAGGCAGGGTTTCATGCAGGCCTTGAACTCCTGATTTGCCTGCCTCCACTTTCCAAATGCTAGGCTTCAAGGTGTATACTGCTGAGCCTGGCTCATAAAGTCTTTAAAAAGTAGGCTGGTGAGGTTTTTGGTGTGTCTTTTCAAGCAGGAAAAATGGAGATCTTCCTTGCATATAGTACAAAAATTTTTCTTTGGTGCTTTATGGTATATAATTTATGATATTTGGTATAGGTTAAATGTTTTATAACATTTTTTTAAGTGACAGCCTTTTTCTATAATCAGAGCAGGTATTCACTGACTTAGGAGAATCTGTTTCAATGACAATTGATTTGAATATTAACAAAAGTGATACTCACTTGGAGTTGACGAGATGAGGGCTCAGTTGATAGAGCATTGCCATTCTTCATAAGCTTCCCAACTCCCACATTAGGTGGTACACCTGCAACTCCAGCTCTAGGGAACCTTCTAGCCTCTCCAGGTACCATCCACTCATATGAGACATAGTCATATATGCAGGAACTCACACAAAAATAAATCTTCTTTAAAAATTCTATTTTGTCTTAAACGAAGAGTTAAAAAAATCATTACAAAGTTCCATTTGGAGTATCTTTGTAATAAATCCTAATTTTGAAAACTGAAAAGTGGGTAATATGAGCTTATATGTGGAACTCTCCTGATTGGCAGTTGTCTGGTATTTCTTGTTCCTGAGATTTGTGATTACTGGTATAAACAATAGTTCATACAGCCACACGTAAATGTAAAGGCTTAATTCCTCATCTGCTCAGTTGCTGCTTTTACAGTGAATGACTTGGTCAGAAACAAATCTCAGGATTAGTCATCTTAACTTCTTGAGCCTCAGCTACATTGTACTGCCAGTTGTATTTATAATTAGATTGCTGGCCACAGGGGAAACAGGCAAGAGAATGTGGACCACTGACACAGCTCATCCTGGTGCTGAAAAACAATAGAAGATGTGTGCTGTAGTTTATGCTGCACACAGCATCTGTTCCTTGTTACCAAACTTCCCAAGATTTTAATTTGTGAAGAAACCCTATTTGTTCTTTGGGGTTTTATTATCTAGATTCAGCTTGTTGCTTCTTGGTGGATTAATGTATCATTATGTTCCTTGTAAATTGCTAGAGGAAATGGACTTTTGGATCTCGCTGGATGAGTGTGTATAGTCTCTGCTGTCATATTGTGGCTGCCATTACTATGCTGTCTGCATTTTCTTAAATTGTTTCCTTCTGGTCCATTCACTCATTTTCTGATTTTGATATTAATAAGTAAGAAGCTTATACATTATCTGGAAATTAGTTTAGTTCTTAAAAATTTGATTCATTTGTATGTGGTGCTGAGAATCACAAACCCAAAGCCTTGTGCTTGCTATGTAGGCATTCTGCTACTGAGCTAGGCCCCCGGCTCCCCCCCCCCCCTTTTTTTGTTTTGTTTGTTTTAATTTTGAGGGTCTTATGATATCCAAGGTTGCCTTGAATTCATGATTCTTCTGTCTTAGTCTCTGAAATGCTCAATAGGATTGCTTTTGCATGTTTACCATACCTGGCCCAAACTAACTTACTTATTCTGATTTTGAGACAGGCTCTTGCTAGATAGACTGGGCTGGCTTCAAGCTCAAAGAGCTCTGTCTGGCTCTGCTTCCCAAATGCTGGGGTTAAGGCTTGCATAGCCACCACAGCCTAAACTTTATTAATTAAGTTTTGTTTATTTTATATTTTTGGTTTTTTGAGGCAGGGTCTCTTTTATTCCTGGCTGTTCTGAATCTTGATATGTAAACCAGGCCAACCTCAAATCACAGAGATCCGCCTGCCTTTCTCTCTCCAGTGCTGGGATTAAAGGGTGTGCAACACAATTCCCAGTTTTATTGTTGTTTGAAATTAAGAAGATATAAACTATTGTATTGTATGGTCCTTAATGATTGCTAGTTATCCTGTCTTGGTTTAGAGAATGACATGCTTATTTTTTTTCTTATAATACAGTTATCTATTCTAAGTCAACATCAAAGTTGGCATGCTGCTTTTAAAAAATACATATTACTATTTTTTTAAAAAAAATTAAAATATAAAAGCCTTGTTGTTTAGCTCTGGGGCGGGAACTCATTATATTGATAGGCTAGCTTTAACATTATCGGCAGTCCTTCTGCCTCAGCCCTTTCAAATGTAGAGGTGACAAATATGAGCTACCAGATCTGACTTTTTTTTTTGGTTGGCCTTAAACATGATAATCTTTTTCTCTCATTCATGTGATTGTACCACCAAAGCCAGGCAACATACCCTGTTTTGAATTAATGTGAGCCTGCTTTTTACTTTTTTTTTGTTTTGGAAATGGCTTAAAACAGAATGTTAAGTACGTATCTAATGATCTGTCAATAAATGATATAATTTGAGTGTTTATCTTTGTTTTGAGGGGAGGGGTGGGTTTTCTTTTTTTTTTTTTTTTTTTTTTTTTTTTTTTTTTTGAGACAGGGTCTTGGGATGCCCCACCTTTACCTCTCAGTTGTTGGAATTACAAGTGTGTGGGGCCAGAGTCAGGCCACAGCATTCAGTATATTTATGCCCTCTCTTATACTAGAAAGAGTTTTTGTTTATCTGAGTTTTGTAATTTATACAGAAACTGATCTCTTCTGGGATGCAGTTTTTGAGACAAGGTTTCTCTGTATATCTCTGGCTGTCCTGGAACTCACTCTGTATGACAGGCTGGCTTAGAACTCACAAGTATCTGCCTGCCTCTGCCTTCTGATTAAAGGTGTATGCAACCATTGCCCAGCAAGGAGCTGATCTTATTTTTAACAAATCTCACAGGTATTTCAAGAGCCAGCAGAAGAAGAACGAGATGGTAGAAAGAAGAAATATCCTAGTCCCCAGAAGAGTCGTTCAGAATCCAGTGAGCGAAGGTTTGTATTTGCCTCTGAATAGTAAGATATGAAAGTCATTTCAGTATGCAAAGTTAGTTGCGTAGCATTTATGGTCTTTGTCCCAATGTCCTCTAAAGCAACGAGGGTGAGTGTTGCCTTCTTTCCATTCTGTCTTTTGCTGTTGTCTTAGCTTCTGTGTCTGAAAAACAGTCATTATTTGCTTTCCCCAAGAGCACAGGGGTGGGAGCAGTCTCCTCAGAGAATTATAATGAAATGTTCCATTTGTTTAGGGGTGCTGCGTGTTAAAATTGTTCATGCTAGCTTATGCCAAAAGAGGTATCGTTTGGCAAAAATGTTCACCTTTGCTCACAAGGTGGTCTTTGTTTAGGAAGACTTGTTTTGAGCCTTCTCCTCTTTGTCTTTCTGATTTCTGTCTTCTCCCCTACTTTTCCTCATACGTTGGTTTACCTCTTCTTTTTCATTTCTCCCTACCCTGTGTTTTTGAAGTGGAAAGCCCTTCCCCCTTTTAATAATGGTTAGAAGAATTAGTGGTAGTCTTGAGGCATTCTAAAATAGACATTATGAATTGTGGTGACTTAAAGAGAGTATTTTATTCTCTGGACTTGCGCACAGATCTCATTTCTAGAGTCTACGTATGGCTTTTATATCTGTGTATTATAGGACTCGTGAGAAGAAAAGAGAAGATGGCAAGTGGAGAGACTATGAGCGGTACTACGAGCGGAACGAGCTGTATCGTGAGAAGTTTGACTGGAGAAGGGGCAGGAGCAAGAGCCGGAGTAAGAGCCGAGGCTTGAGTCGGAGTAGGAGCCGCAGCAGGGGCCGCAGCAAAGACCGAGATCCAAACAGCAGGAGTGTTGGTGAGTAGGCGACAGCCCCAAAAGCTTACTTGACAGAGGTGGGAGAAATGGGAAAACTGGAATTGTCTCCAAAAGCTGGATATTGATCTCTTACAAAGACAGTGCTAATCTTGTATACCCTTGGAATTAAGGCAGTTTTTAAAAGTTATTCCTAAGTTATTATAATATATATATATATAAAGATTTAAATCATTTTTATAATTGATACAAATGTCTTTAATTAGTGACAACAGCACTTGAGTAAAAAAGGTTGTCTTTTGTTTTGTTGGTTTTCCCTGAAAGTAATTGAATTGACTTGCTATGAGGTTGCCTAGTGTTTATAAAAAGAATACTAAAATGCCAGTGGGAAAACTGACCTATCTCTGTCAGTGCCCTTGTTGGTGATAGTGTAAAACCTGTTTTCACAAGTCTGTTGAGATATGCTGAGGTGGCAATGTTCCTGCTTTTAGAATATGCTACTAGTGAATGTGCTTAGGGTGTGGATCTTTCAGGAAGTGTAGGCTAATGTTTTCAGCATTGTTGATCTGAGAGAAGTGTAGTTTAAATATGTAAATATGTGACCTCTCTTGTTTTCTTTCTCTCTCTACAACAGAGCACAGGGAAAGATCAAAGTTTAAGAGTGAAAGAAATGACCTGGAGAGCTCCTATGTGCCTGTGTCTGCTCCTCCTGCAAACTCTTCTGAGCAGTACTCCTCTGGGGCACAGTCTATTCCCAGCACTGTCACTGTGATCGCACCTGCTCACCATTCTGAAAACACAACCGAGAGCTGGTCTAATTACTATAACAATCATAGCTCTTCCAATTCTTTTGGTCGAAACCCACCACCAAAGAGGCGCTGCAGAGATTATGATGGTAAAGATTGCCTTCTCTTTTGTATGTGCTGTTCCCATCTAGGAAAGCAAGTGTTGCAGATATGGCATGGGTGCTCCTCAGCAATTTGCCTTTATTTATGTGAATACTGGTGTTTTCTTCATACATCATGTAATGTGTTTTCACTTACAGTTTCTTGAAAATAACTCCATACAGACATGTAAAGCACTTCCTTCGTTGTTCTTGAGGCTCTTCTATAGTATTCTATATGTATGAAAATAATGTTTAACCCATTTATCATAAATATGCACTTAGGTCCTTTCTAGCATTTTCAGTTATAAGCAGTTCTACAATAAATAGCTTTGTTAACCTTGCCTTATAGAAATTTAATGTTAAAATCGATGAATACTATACATAGTTATAGCATACAACAAGATTTCAGCACATGTATACTGTATATAGTAATCAAATCAGGGTAACTAGCATGTTTATAACCTCAAACTTATTTCTTGATGTTGGGAATGCTCATGATCTTCTCTATCAACTATTTGAAAACAATTGCCAACTATAATTATTTTGTTGTATCTAGAACATTGTGATTCATTTCTTCTATCTACTTGAGTATTTTTAATTTAAGCCATATATATATCAAGAATGGTCACTTTAAAATAATACCATGAAATAGATCATTGAAATAAATGATTAGTTTTAAGACTTTTATTCCTTTCTATCAAACCTTTGGTAAATGGATATTTGGTAAACTATCTAGTTTTTTTATTATTTAAAAAAAACCCTAAAACCTTTCTTTTTGAAATGAGTATCTTATTATGTAGCCAAGACTTGCCTCACATGTGCATGTAACTCAGGCTGGCCTCAAACTTGCAATCCTCCTGCCTCAGCCTCTAGAGTGCTAGGACTACAGGAGTCACTACCACACTTGTTTTTTTATAAAAATTTAGCAACTTGGTTAATCTATAGTAGCTACTTAGTAGCCTGTGTGTCGTAAAATTTCAATATGTCATAATCTCAGAGAACACAGACTGTGCTTGCCTCTATCTCAAGGTTGTATGGTCACTAACAGGCGAGCCCTCAGGAGATTGTTCCACATCTTAGAAAAAAAACTACAATGTAAATTAGGATGTTGAGTTTTCTGGAACTTGTCTTATTCTTTGAACTCTAAGTAGATCGTAATAAGGTTTTTGTTTTTGTTTCTTTAATTTTAATTCTTACAGAAAGAGGATTTTGTGTACTTGGTGACCTTTGTCAGTTTGATCATGGAAATGATCCTCTAGTTGTTGATGAAGTTGCTCTGCCAAGTATGATTCCTTTCCCACCCCCTCCTCCTGGGCTTCCTCCTCCACCACCTCCCGGAATGTTAATGCCTCCAATGCCCGGTCCAGGCCCAGGCCCTGGTCCTGGCCCTGGTCCTGGTCCCGGCCCAGGCCCAGGCCCTGGCCATAGTATGAGACTTCCTGTTCCTCAAGGACATGGTCAGCCTCCACCTTCTGTTGTGCTTCCCATACCAAGTAAGTATGTGTTGGTTGAATCTTGTTTGTTTTTTTTTTGTTTTTGTTTTTTGATGCGTTGTATTTAGAAGACCCTCATCCCTTTTGCTAACTATTAAAATGCTTGAAAAACAGTAATGGAATGTGAAATATACTTCCATAGTTAAGATGTTCTTTCTGCCATTCTTTTCTGTACCTGCAGTGTGCCCATTGTCTGTAGTAGCCTACCTTGTGTTGACCTGGAGACAAAACCTTGTTAGCAAATTAAGATGTTAGCAAAGAAACATGCTGGGATTTTTCTTAGTATTTAAAGAAAAGCTCTTCAAGAATATTAAAATAATGAGATTTTTTTTAAAAATTATAGACTCTTTAGAGGATGAATATTAATTTAGGCAGTATTTGTTTAATTGCCCTCAGTGATTACCTATTCAGTCAACTTTGATTATTCTCATTATAGTGTTTTGGGTTGATTTGGGTTTTTTGTTTGTTTGTTTCATTTTTTTTGAGACAGGGTTCTCTGTGTAACAGTCCTGGCTGTCCTGGAACTCACTTTGTGGACCAGGATGGCCTTGGACTCACTTGAGATCCACCTGTCTCTGTCTCCCAAGTGCTGGGATTGGATTACAGGCATGCACTACCATCACTAGATTTGAGTTGATTTGTTTTTGTGGGAGTAAATTCTAAATGCCATGCCATCTTAACTGTGTATTTCCATGTGGATTTCTTTACTGAAAAAGACTTTTTTTTTTTTTTTTTAAATAGGCATTTATTGTATCCATCCGAATCAAGAGTAAGAAATGTTTAAAAATGGCCATTTAAGTGCCTGGGAAGATGGCTTAGTCAGTAAGAGTACTCGTTGTATAAGCATGAGGATCTGAGTTCAAAATCCCCTTTTAATGTGTTGACATTAAAAGCTAGATGTGGCTCTGTACCTGTAATTCATCTCTGAGGGTGTACAGTAGAGACAGGAGGATTGCTGGGGTTGTTGTCTGCCAGCCTAGCTGTGGGTTTAGTGAGAAAATCTAGAGGGAATAAGGTAGTTTGATACCATTCTCTGACCTCTGTATACGTGCATGGTTGTGTGTGTATACCTTAATGCCTCCCACACAAACATAAGAAGTATTAGTGGTTGCTATGGGCGTGTTTATCCAGCACTCTGGAATCTGAGCAGATAATCAAGGTAAGGTTATGACTATAGCAAGAATAGGGATAAGACTAAATTTTTAAATTCAATTGGAAAAACTTACAGAATGAATTATTTATGTACATGTAAAGGTCTAAGAAAATATCTACTTACAGATATTTTACATTGCGTTATTAAAGAGTAGCAAATTATTACCTTAAAAATTATTATCATTTAATTTAAGGAGTATTTCTCTGTTCCTGGTACTAGGAATAGAACCTAGGGCTTCACTTATGCCTAGGCAAGCACTCCCCACTCAGGTTTAGCCTTAGCCCCTGTCAATTTACTTTCATCAGGGTCTCACTAAGTTGTCCAGACTGGCTTTGAAGTAGTTGTAGTCCAGGCAGGCTTTGAACTTGAGATCTTGTTGTTGTATATAACCTTCTATGTAACTGAGATTCCAGGCCTGTATCATCTGGTTCTCTTTCTTCTCCCAGTTCTTGGGATTGAATCCAGAACTTCATGCATTCTGGACATATTGTCAGCCTCTGAACTTTATCCCCCCCAGCACTATTTTCTTTTCTTTTTTTTAAAGCACTTTATTTTAGGGCTGTGGAATAGCTCAGTACTATAGTGCCTGACTATGTGAAAACCTGATTTTTGTCCCCAGCATTAAAGTTATAACCAAAACAGTCAGGAAAAATAATTTAGCACAATCCTAACATGTGCCTATCACTAAGCTTCCCTGTAGTAAAGTATACAACACATTAAAGTTGGTACAAAGGACTGGCAGGATGACTCAGCAGGTAAGGTACTTGCTGTGTAAACCTGGATATCCAAGTTCAATCCTTAGGACACACATAAAAATAGGAAGAACTGACTACATAGATTTGTCTTCTGACCACCTCATGCATGCTATGGCTAACCTACCCTTCATTAATAATAATAATAATAATAATAATAATAATAATAATAATAATAATAATAAATAACAACAACAGTAATCATAAAATGTGCCATGAGGTGGCTCAGCAAATCAAGGAGCTTGCTACCTTGATGACTTGAATTTCATCTATGGTATCCATGTGGTCAAAGGAGAGCCAAGGCAGAACTGTAGCAGAGACAAAGATGGAATGCTCCATACTGGCCTGTTTCGCTACATTTCTTATACATCCCAAGACCAACAGTGGGTGGGGCCCTCCTACTCAGTGTACAATTAGGATACTTTCCATAGACATGCCCACAGACCAGTCTAGTGGAGGCAGTTCTCTGTTTTAAGGGTCTCTCTTCCTAGGTCATTAGCTCGTTGTGAAGTTGAAAGAACTAACCACTACACTAGGCAAACACTTTACCATTGATCTCCAACCCATAACTTAGCAACTGTAGATACTAAATATTGATTGAAGGGGATCAAGAGATAGCTTAGCAGTTAAGAGTAGTTGTTGCTCTTCCTGAGGACCTGGGTTCCATTCCCAGCACTCACATAGTAGCTCACAACCATTCATAACTAGTTCCAGGGGATCTGATGCCCTCTCCTACCTCTACAAGCACCAGGTACAATTTTATATGATGTACATACATGGACAAAAAATTCATACATGTAAGTTAATTAAGTCAATGTTTAAAAAGCTTAGAAAGAAAACACATTACTTCTATAATACGTGTTGAAGTGATTTTATTCTCTTAAGCTTTTCTCTTTATTTACCTATTTTAAATTTAATTTGTTATTGGGATACTGGCAGTTGACCTCAGGATCTTGCAAATGCCAGGCAAACACCAGACATGGCTGTTGACTGAGCTTTCTGTTGTACGGATCCCGCAGTCGTTAAGTCCCAAAGAAATCACACAGAGGTCTACATTAATTATAAACTGATTGGCCTAGTATTTCAGGCTTCTATTAACTCTTATAACTTATATTAGCCCATAATTCTTGTCTGTGTTAGCAACATGGCTTAGTACCTTATTCGGCGAGGCAGTCACATCTTGCTTCTTCTGCATCTGGATCACGACTGCAGTTGTACTCCCTCTTCTCAGCATTCTCGTTGCCCTGTCTCTACTTCCTGTCTGGTTACTGGCCAATCAAAATTGAGAGGATAAAAGACCATTGTCCCATAGCACACGGCCACTGAGCTACATACATCCTTACAATCCTTAATCCCCTATTTTAGAAATGGGGATCTTAAACTTCTGATCTGCCTCCACTTGCAATTACAGACAATTACATGTCATTATGCTGGGCTTCAAATCAGTTTTGTTCTTGCTAAGCAAGCACTCCATCATCTGAACTATATCTCCAACCTAACCCTTCACTTTAAAAAAAATTTTTTTTTAATTTTTATTTCTTTTGGTGACAGAATCTCTGTATAATTCTGGCTGGCCTGGAATTCCTATGTAGACCAGACTGGCCTTGAACTCACAGAGGTCTGCTTGTCTCTGCCTCTCAAGTGCTGGAATTAAAGGCACAAGCAACCATGGCCCAGCCTCACTGTATCTTTTTCCATTGTATTCACAACTGCAAATTCATGTTTATTGCTCACTTATGCTTAAGCCATCTACTGTTCCTTACGTCCTTTCTGCCATCCTCATGTCTGCCTGCAGTGACACCTACTCCCGCTTTCCTTCATTTGTGATAAGCCTTGCCTGTTGGAGAACTAAGACTGTCATCAGGATTGTTAAGTTTGAATAAATTATTATTAGTATCATGCTCTTACTAGTAATTATTTATCATGTACTTGTTACTTTTTTTGGTATTCTATAGGACCTCCCATTTCACAGTCAAGCTTAATAAACAGCCGTGACCAGCCTGGGACAAGTGCAGTGCCCAATCTTGCACCAGTGGGAGCAAGACTACCTCCTCCTTTACCCCAGAACCTCCTTTATACAGTATCAGAAAGTAAGTAAATGTCACTTCAAGAAATTCTTAGTTTTTTTTAATTAAACACATCAGTTTTTCATACACATGAAGATGATGGACAGTAAGTGGAGTATCACCTGCAGTTATGGCTTTTGGGCCTAGTAGGGCGGGGGCAGGGTATCTTTCTGTGTTCTGATGAAGACTCTTGTGTGTAGCTTCTAGGAATGCAGCCTGTAAAGGATGGCAGTCCAGACTGGGCCATGTACAATTCCAGAACCTTACCGTGAGCTGCTGAGTGTAGCTTTCCATCCAGTCATACAATTCTGGTTTAAGGCTGGGGTCTTGTGGTTTTGGCTGTAGCTCTGTGGTGTCATTTCTACCTGACCTGGTGTCCGCATGATGTCTAGGGCAGTCTGGGGACTTGGAGGGAGATAAACTGAACCAAAATGTGTTTTTGATGGGTTGTCAAGATGGTGGATAAAAGGCAGTTGCCATCAAACCTCAGAACCTGAGTTTGATCCCTGGGTCCTACATGGTGGAAGGAGAAAAGGGACTCTTTTCAAGTTGTCCTCTGATCTTCACACATGCATTGTGGCACTGTGTGATACACCAAAATTGCTATTCTTGCTGGGCAGTGGTGGCACACATCTTTAATCCCAGCACTTGGGAGGCAGATGCAGGTGGGTCTCTGAGTTCAAGGCCAGTCCAGTCTGTGTAGGAGTTCTAAGACAGTCAGAGCTGTTACACAGAGAAACCCTGTCTCAAGGTGGTGGGGGAGAAGAAAGCTTATTATTGTGGGATGCATAGCAAGCACAAAGCTACTATGTCATGGCTGTATTTTAATTTTGTGTGCTGGGTGGGGAGAAGCAAGGAGCCCTCTGCTGCTGTACACTGGCAGTATAGAGTCTCTTCATAATGACTGCTTCAGTCACAGCATTGTACTTTTGCTAATGTCTAAAACATGTCACCTGTCTTCTAAGAAGTGTACAAGAATCAGGTAAAATATGTCTAATAGTTGAAGTGAAGATAGAAAACATAAATTAGTGTTTTAGCACATTTTAAATATTGGTGTTTAATTTTAAATTGTTTCCTTTGATTTATACCTTTTAAAAAACCAAGTGCCTGGTTGATTTTGTTCATTTTTTCAAGACAAGATTTCTCTGTGTATTCCTGGCTGTCTTATAACTGGTCCTCTAGACCAGACTGGCCTCGAACTCAGAGATCCGCCTGCCCTTGTCTCCTGAGTGCTGGGATTACCCAACCTGGCTTGTATACACACACACACACACACACACACACACATACATAAATATATGTAATTTTTAAAGGTGTTTTTTAGAAATATATTTTAAAAGTTAATTAAGCCAGGCATGATGGAGTACTCCTATAAATCCCAGCACTTGGGAGGTAGAGGCAGGAGGATCAAGAGTTCATGGCCAATCTCAGCCACATAGCAAGTATGAGGCTGCCATGGGCGACTCACTGTCTCAAAAAACCAAAAGCAATCAAAAAAGTGGTTGTTTTACATTGTCAGATTATGAGCTTTCCTTTACAGAAGTGATGGTATGTTTGTTTTTTGTATATCCATGCTTATAAATTTGCGTTACCTTGGAAATGTTTCCTCATTTCTTCCATGTTGCAGAGGCAAGCACGTAAAGTAGTTGGGCCTAGTTTAAGATCCTGGTGCTTTTCTCTTTTTCTCTCATCTTCTCTCTTCTTCATGTAGGCCAAGTTAATTCACTTTTGTATTTCAGTTTGCTTTTCCAAAGTGAAACTAATGTTACTTCATTTCTTCTTCTGAAGAAAAATGAATTTATATTCCTGTAAGGCATCTAACATGTCTTTGGCATGTAACCTGTAAAGGATTAATTATATTCTATGTAGTTACTATTTTCTTGTCAGATTTCAACTTCTCAGAATAAAGCCTACACTTAAATCTTGGCCTTTACTCTTTGTCGTTGGGTACAATATCCAAGCACTCATGTTGACATTGTCGTATGACTGACACATTGCTACCCCACCCCTCATAAATGATAGTAGGCTTGAACATGGGTCTCTAGCATGCAAGGAAGCCCCAATCTTGCTTTGCTTTTTAAGAAACCTAGTTCATCAAGATCCTTTTTCCTTTGAAGTTTTTCCTTCACTATATTTCCACCAGAACCTCTCCTTTTATTCACATTTGGCTTGCTGTGCATTTGGATCCTTGGACACCATTATGCTTGTTTAGGCCCCTTCACCAAGGAATAACACATAATGTTGAGTGAATACCCCTCAGGCTCGTCATGAGAACTCTTCATTGGTTAACTAATGAATCGTCAGAGACTCCTGATTTACGTCTTCCCTAATCTTTTTCCAGCTTGAATAGTGACCATGCTCCTGCTGTGACTCAACTTGCCCTTTCTTCTTTCCTGATGCATATGTGCTTTCTCTTCTGCTTCAAGGTTCAAGTCTAAGTAGTTGAGAAATACTCATCTCCTGTTTTGCATTCTTACTTAACATGTAAGCATTTGTATCATAGTAGTGCATACTTAAATATAGGTCTGTTTGATTTTCCATTTATAAATATAAATCAGAAATTTATCTGACATTTTCTCCTGGTCATCTGATTTTTCTCATGGTCTCCTGATTTTTAACTTCTTAACAATACAGCTTTGTTTTGTTGTTGCTATCAGTGTTTTTACTTATGGGAAATAACAAATAGACATAAAAATGAAGAGATATTAGAACAACCTCAGGTATGTGCAGTATAGCAAAGGGCCCTGTACCTTTTATCCAGCTTTAGTAGTGACCAGTGTGCCAGTTAACCCTTTAGCATTTGTTAGTCAGCTCTTAACAGTTAAAAGTGATTTTTGTACTTAAAACCTAAATTTATTGCAGTCTATGGCATATTTTTATATTGTTAAATTTAGTGTTGAGTCATAGTAAAAATTCTGCTTTAAAAAAAACTCTGGCAGTTATTCATTTGTTGTTATACCAAATTGTACATTATGACATACGCAGTAAATACTCTGTTTGGTGTTACTGAGACAGGGTTTTTCTACATATACCTGGCTCTTCTGGAACTCACTATGTAGACCAAACTGTCCTTGAACTCAGAGATCTACTTGCTCCTGCCTCCTAAGTTCTGGAATGAAAACACCGTATTCAGGTGCCATTAATTTTTAAAAATTTAGCAGTTGCCAGTAATCCCAGTGACCTATCTTAATTAATATTCATTAATTCATAAAATACTTGTTCAGTGCTTACATGTGCCAGGCATCGTGGTAGATGCTAGAGAGTGAAGACGTGTAAGGTAACAGATTTCAGATGACTTAGCTCATGTCTTTAAAAGAAAGAGTATAATAGTTTAGAACAAAATTCCAAACATTTTTCCAATCCTAAGACTATTAGGACAAATACAATTGTCAGCTTCTTTGTCAGAATAGAGGACTGCATAGGAAAATATCTAGTATCATTATAATCTTAAAAATACACTTTAAGCCAGGTGGTGATGTTGCACTCCTTTTTTAATCTCAGCACTCAGGAGACAGAGGTAGGTGGTTCTCTGAGTTTCATGCCAGCCTGGTCTACAGAGTGTGTTTCAAGACAGCCAGGGCTACCCAGAAAAACCGTGTCTCAAACAAAACAAAACACAACCCCCAAAATTTAATACACAAAAGATAAAAATCTAAGAATAAAAGCAATCCTTTTAATAATTACCATTTTTGTTACTAAACTAGTAAATGTGATAATTTCGCATTGATATTTCTGGTTTACTACTTTTTAGTCTTAGATGCTGTATCAGTGTTTATAAAGATAATTGATTTGTTGGCAAATAAAATGTTAATATTGAGCTGGGCAGTGGTGGCACACGCCTTTAATCCCAGGACTTGGGGGGTGGAGGCAGAGGCAGGCAGATCTCTGTGAGTTTGAGGCCAGCCTGGTTTACAAGAGCTAGTTCCAGGACAGGCACCAAAGCTACACAGAGAAACTCTGTCTTGAAAAACCATATATATATATGTTAAGTCACAACTGTGTCATTAAAGCAACTTTGTAAAATTTCTTCCTTTCTTAAAAGCCTATAATTTGATTCTTAAATATATAGGGAGGAACAGGGGAGACAGTTTAGTGAAGTAAGTATTGTGCAATCCTGAGGATTTGGGTCCCTGATACCATGTATGAGTCAGCATAGCAGTGAGTGCTTGGAGCTCTAGTGCTGCAGGGGAGGAGATAGATGGCCATATTCCTGGAATTCATTACAGGTTCGGTGAAAGACCCTGTCTCAAAAATAAGAGGAAGGATGGGGATGTATCTCAGTTAGTAGAATGCTTATCTACAGTGCATGAAGCCCTGATCTTCAGGCTCAGTACCACATAAAACCAGGAATTGTGTGGCACATGCCTGTAATCTGTGCACTTGTGAAGTAAAGGCATGAGCATCAGAAAATCAAGGCCATCTTCGTTTCTATAGTACATTGGCAGCCAACTAGACAAACATGAGAACCCATTTAATTTTTTTTTTTTTTTTTTTTTTTTGGTTTTTCTAGACAGGGTTTCTCTATGGTTTTGGAGCCTGTCCTGGAACTAGCTCTTATAGACCAGGCTGGTCTCAAACTCACAGAGATCCGCCTGCCTCTGCCTCCCGAGTGCTGGGATTAAAGGCATGTGCCACCACCGCCCGGCTTCCCATCTCATTTTTCAAAAGGAAAAAAGTAGAAAGCAAAGTAATATAGAAAGACTTCATATGCATATGCCCACACGAACATATACTACTCATACAGTTTATAGAAAAAAAGTAAAACTCTCAAGATAAGGTGTCTGATAAGCATCTAAGCATTTAAAACAAAATTTTTGGAACCAGATGGGATGGCTCAATGGGTAAAGATGAAGTGCCTGTCTACAAGCCTGGTGACTTAAGTTTGATTCTCAAGATCCATACATCGAATAGGAAGAGAAAGCCAATGTACGTTAACCAATACACATTTACACATACATACAAACACACAAATAAATAGCTGTGATAAATTTTGTGATCAAATCATTATTAGTACATTGGTTTACAGTGGGAATCACGTGTAAAAAAGCTGAAAATTGGAGTTGCTTGGGGAGGTGGCTCAAATGAATAAAGTATTCAATGTACAACTGTGAAAACTGGCAGACTACCTGAACAGGTAAAGCCAGATGTGGTAGCACAGTTCAAGCAGCGTATGCTCCTGCAGTAAGAAGAGAGGCAATTCACTAGACTCTTGAGAACAGCGGGAGCATAGCATAAGACCCTGTACTAATAAACAAGGTGTAAAAGTAAGGACTGACACCCAAGGTTGTTGTCTGGATCCTCCCACAACACACACAATGCACACATGAACATTCACAGGAATGAGTAAATATAAAACATATATAAAAATTGGAGAATATAATAATTTTTAGTAATAGATTTTTAATTTCTATTTAGTTGATTTTAATGTGTATTGGAAAATTTGAGGGGCTGGAGAAATGGCCTCTTGATTAAGAACACTGATATTCTTTGAGCACCCACATGGCAGCTCACAACTGTCCATGACTCCAGAGTATGCACACCTTTTTCTGGCTTCCATAGACACCAGACATGCGTCTAACCAACTCACAGCCTCCTTTTGTAATGTTTGAATTGCATGTTTTCTGTGATTTTAACAGTAGAGATTGTGCAAGCTTGCCCTTTAGTCTAGTTACTAGTTATATATACTAGGCTAATTTGTGCTGAATCACACATTTAAAGCCATCATACAGATTGGCATTACATTTCTTTTGTTTTCTCTTGAGCATTGTGCCTCTTGATTATTTGTCACAGAGAATTCTGCTGTAGGACATGATTAGGACTATTTTCAGATGATTGAGGATATATTGAATTGCTGTTGCAATGTGGTGATTCATCCTTTTAAAACAAATCTTGAAAGGTCTGGTGTTCAGTATGTAGTTCCATCATTGGCTTTACAGTGAGGTTTGTCATCCCCTTTTCTCCATGCCTATGGACAGAGAAGATGGGAGATGTTAGCATCTTTCTATGAAATCAAGTGATTGCGCTGGGGTCTGTCTTACCTGCATGTGTTAAAAATCTAAAGGAACTGTACAACTTATAAAGACTTTAATTACATATTAAAAATCTTCTAACCTTGCTTCATTATGTCTTATGTTACAGTGAATGTCTGACTTTGTGGTATAAAGTATTAACTAAATTCTACAAATTTATGTTTCATATGTTGCTGTCAGGGAATGATACTAAATAGAAACCAAAGGAAGGTTTTACTCTGTGATACTTTGGATTTTTCCAATCCCGTTGTATAGAATTTATGTCTATATATGTATATACATGTGTGTGCATGCATGTGTGTTTGTGTCCCCCTGTGTACTTTATTTTGAAACATGGCGCCTAAAAGCCAAAGTCATTTACTATATCTATATTTGGTCTGTTTGCATTTTTCTTCATTTTTTTTTCTTATCATCCACTCTGGTGATTAACAAATTTTCACTACCTTTTGAATTTTCTTCTAGTGAACACTTATTCTTTGTGAGGCTATGGGTATAGTAGTTTGTTTTGTATTTCTTATTATTCTTTTTCTGCTTTTAGATATGGGAGTAGTATATTTTGTGCAGAGTTGCCATTTTTGTGATTAGAGGGGCATGTGCATGACAACCTTTATATCTGCACAGCTCATTAATATCACATTCTTTGCGAACTATAGCTCAAGGTGCCTTTCTGTAACTTGATGGTTCATTGTTCATCTTTAGATAAAATAGCGTACATTTACTCCATTTATGATTCAAAATAATAGAAAGCCAGGTATGGTGTTGTATACCTGCATTTCCAGAACTTGGGCTATGGAGGCAATAGGATCAGGAGTTCATTGTTAGCCTCAGCTATATAGTAACTTTGAGGCAAGCAAACCTCTTTTAAGAGAGAGAGGAGAAAGAGAATATTCTGAAAGGCAGATTGCACAAAGCTAGCTTCTTTGTACCTTGAGGCATCTGAGCCATTTGCATGTCTGTGCTTTCTTGAGTTAGAATCTCAATAATGTCTTTCTCACTACTGTTCTTGTTGTTGTAATTTCTCTGTTCTTGGCTCACAGTGTCAGGAAGTACATCACTGCCTCAGAAAAGCAAGCTTGTGACTTTCAATCCCAGCTGCCCTCCTATTCTTTCCTCTGTAGGACAGCCCATGTATTCTCGTGAACATGGTGCTGCTGCATCTGAGCGACTTCAGTTGGGGACACCGCCTCCTCTGTTGGCAGCTCGTTTGGTGCCACCTCGAAACCTCATGGGATCCTCCATTGGGTATCATACCTCAGTCTCCAGCCCCACCCCTCTGGTCCCAGGTAAGCTTTGCTTCAGATGGACATCCACCTTACTGATCTTTCATACCTGAAACTGGTCAGCCTAACATATCAGATGACCTGGGAATCTGACCTGTCTGAAGTTCCCTTTAAGGTCTTGGGTAGAGTGTTCTCTGTTTCTCTGCTTCTGTGGTTTGTCCCTAGTGGTTGTTGATGATTAGGCCCTCTGTGTGTGTCCGTCATCTCTGTTGTCCTGTATATTTACATTCAGTGCCTTGGTAACAGTCACATCTTCCTTAAGGTAGATAGTAAGATGGTATCTGCTTGAGTATTTTCTACTTAATTACTTATATATTACAAGAAAAACTAGGGTAATTTTTCTTTGAAATAAAACTAAAGTTCAGGTTTCTTGCTGCTCGTGGATAAACATAGTTTTTCCTTTCTACTCCATTTGGATAGATTGATCATGATGACTGTAATATTTTTGAAAATTATTTCGCCCTATTGATATGTGTTTTGAAGATCTGTGCTATACTTTGTTGGTATCGTGTTAGTCTCTCTATTTAAATTCGATTTCCTCACTTTGCCTTTGGATTCTCACTTTTCCTTTAGTTAGTTCGGAACTAACTAAAGGGCTTTTTAAAAACAAAAGAGGGTTACTATATAGCCCAAATTAGCCTTGAACATGGAATCAGCTGTTCTAGGTTTGCAGTTGTGTGCTACCATGCCTGATCTGACTGTAGAACTATTGCATGTATTGGGGTTCTGTGTTCACAGTGGTCATAGAACTAGGTAGGTCATTTGTGTAAATTTCAAACATTTATGTAGCCTCAACTGTGGGAGAGTTTCTGTTCATGCTAGACAATGATTGAAAACTTTGGACCATACTTTGTTGATTTGCTTAAATGTTGAAGTAGTGTTTATTTTGTTAATTTTTAAAGTTGGCATGTGTCTTAGGTAGGGCTACCATTGCTGTGATGAAACACCACAACCCAAGAAACTTGGGGAGGAAAGGGTTTGTTTGGCTTATGCTTCTACATCAGTTTATCGTCAAAGGAACAGGGCAGGAACCTGGAGGCAGGAGCTGATGTAGAGGCAATGGAGGAGCACTGCTTACTGGTTTGCTCCTCATGGCTTGCTCAACCTGCTTGCTTATAGAAGCCAGGACCACCAGCCCAAGGATAGTACTACCACCCACAATGGTCTGGGTCCTACCCATCAAACACTAATTTAAAAAAATTCCTTACAGCTGGATCTTAAGGAGGCATTTTCTCAATTGAAGTTCTCTCCTTTCGATAACTCTAGCTTGTTGACATAAAACTAGCCAGGACAGCATAACTGTGGAATCTGTGGAATTTGTTATTTTACATATCGTCCTCAAACTATTACTCAGATATTTAACATACTTAAATTTAAAAAATAGATAGGACCTGCTTTTAAGCTATACTCCATTAAAGCACACATTTCTCTTGATAAGTAATAATTCTGTCTAGTTGACTTAAATGAACAAGAAAATTAAGGGCATGGATCATTCAGCATAATCCTTGCCCCCAAATTGTGATGAACTAAATTTGAATCTCCAGCACCCACATAAAAATCTGGGCATGATGACATATGCCTATCATTCTGGCACCAGAGGATGAGTTGAGAGAACTTCCTGGGGTTTGTTGGCCAGCCACTGTAGTTAAATATCAATGAGAGACTTTATCTCAGGAAATAAGATGGTGAGGGGTTGAGGAAAACACCATGCATTGACCTCTGTCTTCACATTCATTTGTGTACATGGGGAAAAAAAGGGAAGGACTCAGAGCAGGAGCTGACAAAATCAGTATGACGTCCAAGAATGCTCTGACAGAGAGAGTTTGGTTCTATTAGGTCATCATTAGGAAACTGTAGGCTGAATAGAAGCATTGAGAATGAGTGTAAATCCTATAATAGGAACATCATTATTACAATAATTTATTAACTTTCCTTAGCCATTCTATTCTGAGGAGGGACTATAGACCTCAGTGGTGACTAATTTTCAAAATCATCATTTTGTTACAGAGAATCAATATTTAATCTGTTGACGCTCTATACCATGCCATGAACTGTCTTAAAAAGTGGAAGGAAAGAAAGTGAGGGAATATGTGGATGTGAAGAAGTATTGACCAGCAGTTTTAGTTTTGGTGGCCTATGTCTCAGTTGGTTGTTCCTCAGTGTCATTTAATTGTTCTAAACTTGAAGTTGGTGTTTTGTGCAGGAAGAATATGCTCATGGAACTGGAAGTTGGGGGAAATACAGTACTCAGGGCAAGCTTTGCTCTAAGAGGGTGAGAGAGATTTAACTTATTTAGACAGTGGCTAAAGATTCATACTTTTAGAAATCTGGAAATTCCTAAGGGGGATTGTTTGTTTTAAGAATTTATTTTATTTTATTTGAGACAGTCTCACTATATCAGTCTTGCTGGCTTGGAACTTAGCCATGTCGATCAGGCTGGCCTTAAACTCACAAAGATCCACCTGTGCCTGCCTCCCTAGTGCAGATATTAAAGGTGTTGCTTCCACACCTCACTTATTTTACTACTTTTAACTGTGTGTGTAAGTCTGGGTGTGGGTGTATGTATGTGAGTACAGATGCCCACCCCATCCAGAAGAGGGTGTTGGATCCTGTGGATATGGGGTTGTTCACTGGTGGTTGTGAACCAAATGTGGGTGCTGAGAACCCAGTTTGGGTCTTCTGCAAAAGTAGCATGTTCTCTTAACCACTGAGCTATCTCTCCAGCAAGTAGATCATTTGTGAGCCTACATTTTGTACGATGTAAGTAGCAACCATTAGTAAAGATCTGAATGAGATTGATCTTGTAGCAAGAATCATTAAATATATTTTCCATTATGGAAAAAAAGGGAAGAAACACAAGAGCTTCTGAATCATAACCACGAAAAACAGTGTCTTCAGTCTGTTTTACTCTGATTTGATGTAGAATATGAAGAGGTTATGTGCCATTTGGGGTTTCTGTCATTCCTTTCAGAATTGCTTTTAACACTAATAAAATAGTTACTTGGAGTTAGAATTTTCAAAGTGATTTTTTTTTGTTTCAGAAAAAGTATGAGAAATATAAAAAAATACATTGGTGAATAATAGGGTGGTATTAAGATAATTATAAATACCTAGCCTTATTTGAAATACGCTTTGGATAGGAAACAAGTTATTATTTCTTTATCTAAAAAATTATTTTTTGTTGATTACAGAAATATCTAGAAATTGAGACACAACTCAACAATCTGAATAATGTGTTCATGTATGTGAAAATTAGTGATGAAAATATGTATTGTTATTAGATTAAGTGATTAGTATACAGGATAGACATTGCTGAATGGATTGAGAATAAACACTGTTTGCATTTGAATGTCTGTATGCTTGTAGTAGTAGTACTGTTTACTTGTACTCCTAAAAGGAATGTCTGATAGAACTCAAAGAGAAGCGTATGCAGATGATAGAATTATATATTTTTAAAATACTTATTTATTTATTATGTATACAATATTCTGGCTGTGTGTATGTCTGCAGGCCAGAAGAGGGCACCAGACCTCTTACAGATGATTGTGAGCCACCATGTGGTTGCCGGGAATTGAACTCAGGACCTTTGGAAGAGCAGGCAATGCTCTTAACCACTGAGCCATCTCTCCAGCCCTAGAATTATATTTTTTGAAGAACACATAACTTGAACAACTATTTTTAATAACAAGGGAATAATTCGAGCACTCTCTGATTATCTAAGTGTTTTGTTTTGTTTTTTCAGATACATATGAACCTGATGGTTATAACCCTGAAGCTCCTAGTATCACCAGTTCTGGCAGATCACAGTATAGACAGTTCTTTTCAAGAGCACAGACACAGCGTCCCAACCTGATTGGCCTTACATCTGGAGATATGGATGCAAATCCAAGAGGTAAGAATGCCTTTTTCTGGTGATACACATTATGCATCAGTTTATCAATATAGCTAATAATTTGTGTTTCTGGTCTCACTTGAGGAAATCAGACTCCTAATACTTTTCAAAGATGCTTTGTAATCATTTCAATAGTTTTATAACAATTTCACTTCTAAATTTTAGTGGTATAGTTAGAACATATATATGTATATGTATGGGGTGGGACAGTTCTGTATTCTGTCAATTATGTTTTAAATAAATGCTGATTGCTGATTGGCCAGTAGCCAGGCAGGAAGTATAGATGGGACAACCAGACAGGAAGTAGAGGCAGGGCAATGAGAACAGGAGAATTCTGGGAAGGAGGAAGCCCATTCCTCCTCAGTCCTGTCCAGACACTGAAGAAGGAAGATGTGACCTGCCCCTCTGAAAAAGGTACCAAGCCATGTGGCTAGCAAAAACTAGAATAATGGGCTAATATAAGTTATAAGAGTTAATAAGAAGCCTGAGCTAATGAGCCAATCAGTTTTATAACTTATGTAGACCATCTGTATGATTCTTTGAGACCTAACAACTGTGGGAACCAGGCAGGACAGAAACCCCAACAAGCAGGCCTTCATGTTATATATATACATATATATTATGTATGCAATGTTCTGTCAGCATGTATGCCTGCAGGGCAGAAGAGAGCACCAGGTCTTTTTACAGATGATTGTAAACCATCATGTAGTTATTGGGAATTGGACTGAGGACCTCTGGAAGAGCAGACAGTGCTCTTAACCACTGAGCCATTTCTTTTTAGACACAGAAAATAGTAATACTTTTTTGTTTGGTTGGTTTTTTTTTTTTTTTTTTTCGAGACAGGGTTTCTCTGTGGCTTTGGAACCTGTCCTGGAACTTAGCTCTGTGGACCAGGCTGGTCTCGAACTCACAGAGATCCGCCTGCTTCTGCCTCCCAAGTGCTGGGATTAAAGGCGTGCGCCACCATCCCCCGGCAATAGTAATACTTTTTAGTTGCTTTTTTAGATAGGACTTCAGACCATTTTAATTGTGTGCTAGGCACAGTGCTAGAGTTTACATGCGAGAAGGTGAGATGACTGGTCCCTTTCTCTCAAAGAATTGATCAAAGGTTTATTTTCTGTTTTGAGTGGTGTAGCTTCAAACCATTAATGTTACAAGCCTAAACACTGTAAGTAAATTAGCATTTTATCAATTTACTTCTTAAGATTACAGCTATATACTCAGGCCCAGTGGCACATATTTTTTTTATCTGTGTGGAGACAGGAGGACCAGGGCTGAAGATTATCTTTACCTACATAGCAGGTTCAAAGCCAACCTGGGCCACATAGACCCTGTCTAAAAACAAAACTTCTAAAATTAAATCTATCAGGACCTGCTTCAAAGTTTTTAAGATATAAACCTTTAAAAAAAATCAAGCTATGGCAGTTGTGGTGGTACACACTTTTAATCCCAACACTCAGGAGGCAGAGACAGATCTCTGTGAGTTGTAGGCCAGCCTAGTTACATAGTAAATTATGTGCCAAACAGGGCTACAAAGTCAGACCCTGTCTCAAGATGCTGCACAAATCAAGCTAAGATTAAATAAAAGCATATACTTATAATGTGGGTTCTTTCCCTTCCTTGCTAAAATGTTAACTTATATCTAAGATAAAATAGTGTCCTATATAAACACATAGCTGGGCATGGTGTCTATAATCCTAGTGAGTGCCGAGCAGGCTGAAGCAGAGAATTACTTGAATTCCAGGCCAGCCTGGGCTACGGAATAAGACCTAATCTCAAAACAACAAAAAAGGGGTTGTAGAGATGGCTCAAGGGTTAAGAACACTGGCTGCTCTTCTAAAGGACCTGGATTCAATTCTTAGCACCCACATGGCAGCCCACAACTCTCTAGGGGATCCAGCCCCCTCACACAGACATACATGTCGGCAAAATACCAGCACACATAAAATAAAAATAAATCATTAAACAAAAAAGAAAACAAAATAATATGGTAATATTTCATATAAGAAAATCATACCAGGTGGTGGTGGCACATACCTTTAATTCCACCACTCAGGAGGCAGAGGCAGGTGGATCTCTGTGAGTTTGAGGTCAGCTTGGTCTACAAAGCAAGTTCCAGGACAGGCTCCATAGCTACTGAGAAACCCTGTCTCGAAAAACCAAGAAAAAAAGAAAGAAAATCATGATTCTTTATGATGTGAACATCTTGTTGGATAATGACAGGAGGTATATAACATCTCTAATACTATTTGATCCCTTGTCAAAGACAGTAATTATTATATATTTATATTATAAAAAAGTAAGTAAAATTATGGTAGCATATATAAAATAAATGTCTTGCTTTTTTCACTCTTTGATGATCTATGCTTGAGTTAATCATCACACTGGATTGCCTTTGAGGTTTTAAGCTTGCATTTTAACTTTTTGAATGTAAAGAGTAGAGGAATTTTTAGGTTTTTTTGCTGATAGATATTTCTAAGAAGGAAATGGTAAACTAGACACAGTTGTGCATGCCCCTAAAACCAGCCTTTGGAAAACTGATGTAGGAGATCAGTGATCTTTTTCTTCAAACAAAACAAAAATAGAAAATGGTAGTAAATGAATGCTGTTCACAGGGCTTTAGTTTTAGACTAAATAACCCAGTCATTTGATGTTTCCCCAAAATATAGTAATGGAAATTTTTGTTTTCCACAGCTGCTAATATTGTCATCCAGACTGAACCACCAGTTCCTGTTTCAATTAATAGCAACATCACCAGAGTAGTCCTGGAACCAGAGAGTCGAAAGAGAGCTATTAGTGGTTTGGAAGGACCACTTACAAAGAAGCCTTGGCTGGGAAAGTAAGATGGTTTAGCTTATTTGAAATATGTAATTGATGCTTGTATTGTTTCATTTGTTAATAAAGTAGTTAAAATTATCATTAACCTTTGCTGGGAATGGTGGTACTCATTTTTAGTCCTAGCACTTGAAAGGCAGAAACAGGCAAATCTCAGGGTTCAGGGCCAGCCTGGTGTACATAGCGAGTTCTAGGATGGCCAGAGCTATACAGAGAAACCCTGTATCAAAAAAGCTGAGGGCGGGGGGTGGGAGGGAGAGGAAGGTGGGAGAATTAACCAAGATTTATCAATGCTTGTTTCAGGCAAGGGAACAACAATCAAAGTAAACCAGGGTTCTTGCGGAAGAATCAGTATACAAACACAAAATTAGAAGTGAAAAAAATCCCCCAGGAATTGAACAACATTACCAAGCTCAATGAACACTTCAGCAAATTTGGAACCATAGTTAATATCCAGGTAAATTGACTTTATCAGTTACAGAATGCATGTGTGCTGTGAGTCTTAGAAAGTATTACCAGCAGTTTTTTTTTTTTTAAATATTTATTTATTTGTTATGTATACAATATTCTGTCTGTGTGTATGCCTGCAGGCCAGAAGAGGGCACCAGACACCATTACAGATGGTTGTGAGCCACCATGTGGTTGCTGGGAATTGAACTCAGGACCTTTGGAAGAGCAGGCAATGCTCTTAACCTCTGAGCCATCTCTCCAGCCCTTACCAGCAGTTTTTGATTAGAGTCAGTGGTAATTTTGACATCTTTGCAAAGTGATGTGTTTTTTTTTTTAATATATCAGTGTATTCTATTATATATCCAGTGTATGTGTATATAATGGAATTATTTAGTTGAATTTGTTCTTGAGGATTCATTTGATTCTTTTCCATAGCTCCTTCCTGAAAACTGAACTAGTTGCTGTTGTTTTTATTGTTGTTGTTGTTGTTGTTGTCCAGAGGTCTTGGTCTGAACTGAACCACTCCCTCCCATTATAATGTTATTATCTAAGAAGCTGTGATTTTTGACATATTATCTAAGATCAGATCAATTGTAGTGACAGTATAATTTTTTGGAAGTTTGACTTTATAAATTTGTGATTAGAAGTGATGATTTAATTGAGTATACTTACGTGTTAGTTTAAAATTTCATGTCCTTAAATTTGTGTGCTTTTTCTCTTAAAAGTTCTCTGTCATTATTCTTTATGGCGTTTAGAAAAAGAACTGGGTGGCTATGTAAAACAGTTTTCTCAGACACTATGTTGACTACCACAGCCTTAATAAACAAACAATAGAAATTTGTTCTATTGTAGGAGAGACAGTTTGCAATTAAAGAGCGTGAACTGCTCTTCCAGAGGACCTGAGTTTGGTTTCCAGCATCCTGATTGGGTGGCTCACTGCCTGTAACTCTGGGGATTTTTAATGCTACTTGTACTCATTTGCTTCAGAGGGATGCCTTCTTAGCTTGTAGACACCTGGTTTCTCACTGTCTTCATACAGCATAGAAGGAGAGGAGGAGGAAGGAAAGGGAGCCATGGAGACCCCTTCCTCTTCTCAGAAGGCTACCTTAACTAAAATAGTTATGGTCACAAATGCAGTACTCCATGTAATGTGAGTCTGTCCCTAGTCCTGTTCTCTGTTGAGGGCTAGGGTTTCTTCATAAGGATTTGGAGGCACATAATTTAGTTCATAGTACTGGACCACACGTATTTAACTACTATCCAAGTTTAAGTTGTTCCCCTTATTTTCTTTAAAGGTTGCTTTTAAGGGTGATCCAGAAGCAGCACTTATCCAATACCTTACCAATGAGGAGGCCAGAAAAGCCATTTCAAGCACAGAAGCAGTGCTGAACAACCGGTTCATTCGAGTCCTGTGGCATAGAGAGAACAATGAGCAGCCAGCACTCCAGTCCCCAGCACAGCTCCTCCTGCAACAGCAGCACCATAGCCTGCCACAGCATCTTCATCCGCAGCAGGTGATGGTAACCCAGTCTTCCCCCGCGTCAGTCCATGGAAGTATCCAGAAGGTAATCATATTTACTAATTAACACTCTAGTCTCACTTCCCAGACAGTATTTTCCAACTCATGGCCCTGACACCTTTCACATTAGAGTTGTTCATGGTTTAATGTATAAACTACCATCATCTGGTTTTCTGAGACCTCATTATTATAGAAGTGCAGATTCTTAGATCTCACCCATCCTTACTTTTATTAACTAAGTAATTATTTGGTGTGGACATGGGTAGGTGCGTGATGTGGGTGGGCGTAGGCCCAAACTTGACACCGTGTGTCTTTGTCAATCCTCTCCACTTTATTACTGAGGCAGGGACTCACTGAATCGTGAGCTTGCCAATTTTGACCATTTTCCTGAGGATCCTCTGTTTCTTCCTAAGTACTGGGATTATAGGTGGCTTTTATATGGCTGTGGGGATCTAAACTCTAATTGAGCTTTTACCCAGCCGTCTCATCTCCTGAATCAATTCCTCTAGGAAATGCCCAGGATCTGCTTCAGAGGACTTTGCAGTGTTCTAAAGCTAAGAGAGCTGCTCTGTAATAGAGCAGCGTGACTCGCCGAGGTCTAACTTGTTTAGCTTTGCCTGTAGAACAGAATTGGTCTCTAGATGGGAGCCTTTGAAATCTGATGCTTAAGAAGTATCTACAGCGAGGCACATGTGACATCTACCACTAAATTCTGAATCTAGAGCTGTTTTGTGCATTAGAGCCATTCAGATATTGATAGTAATAATTTTCATCTAGGTTACCATCGTTAGGGTAAATGCATTTGATGAAAAATCAAAAGCAAGCAGGCATCTGAGGCAGAAGGCTGTTGAGTTTGAGGCCAGCCTATGCTACACAGCAAATTCCTATTTCATAACACTGAAAAATATATACATGTATATTCCTTACAGTATATAGTCTCAACCTGCTCCTTAGCATCTAAACCGTATATTTTTGTTTGTGTTGTGTTTGGTATTTGGATCCAAATGTGAATACTTGTCAAAGATGTTGGATGAATGGTGATAAATGTAGCCAAAGATTATCTTTTTATTTCCTTGTTTATACTGTTAAAAAACCTATCTTTGCCAGGCAGTAGTGGTGCATGCCTTTTATCCCAGCACTTGGAGTCAGAGGCAGGCTGTGAGTTCAAGGTCAGCCTGGTCTACAGAGCTAGTTCCAGGACACAGTCCAAAGACACAGAGAAACCCTGTCTAGAAAAAATAAAAACAAAACAAAAACCTGTTTTTGAAACATTGTATACTTAAGAGAAGATTTTTTTTTAAGTTACCAACAGTTTGTGTGTGTGTGTGTTACTGTGAAATACGTATTTTAGGAGTTAAGGATTGAATCAAGGGACTTGTGCACACTCAATACATGCTATACTATTGAGTTCCTCACAGTTAGGATCTGTGTTAGATTTCCAAAACAAAATGGATAAGACCATCTGTATATTCATAATTCCTAAAAATGTACAATCTTAAAGATAATCGAAGCATTCCCTTATTTCAACTTTAGCTTTTATCTTAAATTTGAATCATTCTTGGGTGTGTTTTTAAATTTATATCACATAGATGTTTATTTTGTACTTGCAGATGATGGGCAAACCACAGACCTCTGGTGCCTATGTCCTTAACAAAGTTCCTGTTAAACACCGTCTTGGACATGCAAGTACTAACCAGAGTGATACACCTCACTTGCTCAATCAGTCTGGAGGTTCTGGAGATGATTGCCCGGTATGCATTCCTGTGATTTCCATGTCTATTTAGTTTTTCATTCAATGGCATAAAAATTCATTACCATTAAGGGGTATAGTCTCTTTCTCAACAGGAGAAGCATGACATTTGACCTAAGTGTACTTCTGATTTCCATAGCTCAGTTAGGAATTAGCTGGTTAATTTTCTTTTATTTAGAGCTATCTAAAAATTAGAGAATTTTAACTTTTAGGTGCTTATTGTTAGGTAGTTATCCTTATTAGTCTCCTCCCACCCCCATTACCACCACCCATTTTTTGAGATCTGTACCCAGGCTGACTTCTAGAAGTTCATGGTCCTGCTGCTTCAGGCTCCCAAATGCTAATATTAAAGACATGTGCTACCACATGTGGCTCTCATTTTTCCTTTTAGATATAATTAAGAACCTAGTGAGGACTAGGGAAATGACTCTTAAAGGTAGTTGGGCTGGAGAGATGGTTCAGTGGTTAAGAGCATTGCTTGCTCTTCCAAAGGTCCTGAGTTCAATTCCCTCAACCACATGGTGGCCCACAACCATCTGTAATGAGGTCTGGTGTTCTGAGGTATTCTGGCCTGCAGACATACAGACAAAATATTGTATACATAATAAATAATTTTTTTTTTTTTTTAAAATAAGGTGACTTGAGTTTGGTTCCTAGCACGCACCCTTAGCAGCTGATAGTTGCTCCCGGGAACTGACACCCTGTTCTGGGTCTGTGGGCACTGCATGCATATGCACAGGCTCACACACAGAAACATGCAACACATTAAATTAAAAATAAATAATTAAAATCAAAATCTTAAATCAGTGAAGGTAATTCTGTGAAAATCAAGTGTTGAATGTCCTACTTTTACTTTTGGAATATATCTGTTCAATAACTCTAGTATAATGGTTATTATAGACAGCCAGAGGAACTCTGAAAAAGGAAAGTGATAGAGAATAGTTTAAAAAAAAATATAAGGTTTGTTACTAATAGATTGATGGTGGCACAGGAATTAACAGACCAGTGAAACAGAACAGAAAGCCTAAATAGACTTCATTGCTAAAGGAATTTATTATATTAAATAGCTAGTATCAGATCAGTGAAGAAAATAATGGGTGTTTTTTTAAAGTCATTTTTTTTAATTTATTTATTATGTATACAGTATTCTGCCTATATATATCTGGTGCCAGTAGAGGGCACCAGATTTCATTACAGATGGTTGTGAGCCACCATGTGGGTTGCTGGGAATTGAACTCAGGACCTCTGGAAGGGCAGTCAGTGCTCTTAACCTCTGAGCCACCTCCCCAGCCCCCAATATTGGATGTTTTGATAAATCCTATTAGTATAAGTGGATAGCCATATGGAAAAGATAAAGTTATGTTCTGTTTTTAAAAATTACATAATTAAATTCCAAGTAGACTTGAGACTTAAATGCTAATGGAAATATTAGATAATTCAACTCTCATGAAATGAAATTTGGCAATGTTAGGCAAAAATTATATATGTAATAAAATCTTTTTAAGAATGTAAGTACACATGTATATACTACTACTAACTGTATGCTTTTTATAATTCTGAAAATCCCCAAATGTCTATCAACAAGGCACTGGTTTCATAAAATGTCATATATCCATACAGTAAAATGCATTTAACTTTACAAAGAAATGAGGAATACTTTTTTTTTTAATGTACCATGATGTGTACACCATGAAATGTATTTTAGGGCATAGTGAACTGAGCAAAATGAATTTTAAGACTATGTAGAAGGCTGGAGAGATGGCTATTCCAAAGGTCCTGAGTTCAATTCCCAGCAACCACATGGTGGCTCACAACCATCTGTAATGAGATCTGGTGCCCTCTTCTGGTCTGCAGGTGTACATGTACATAATAAATAATAAAGAAAACATCCTTTCCTTTATTTTTTTTTTAAGGTATTTTCTACTCCAGGCCATACAAAACCAATTTACAGCTCCTCAAACTTAAAAACACCTTCAAAACTTTGTTCAGGGTCTAAATCTCATGATGTTCAAGAAGTTCTTAAGAAGAAACAGGTAAGGGCCTCCATTCTTCTGCCTGTTAGTTCTTTAGTGCCTGTGCATTACAATACCTTTACATTTGTGTTGCTGTAGAGCTATAGCTATGACATGCTGTACTTTCTCTTCATTTAGTACACTTAAAAATGATGAACAAACTGAAAAAGGCTCGACAGTTGCCTTTAGTAGCCACATTAAATCCAAGGAATAGATTGTTCTTTTGGTTATGAGTATTAAAACAAGAGCCTTAAGTACACCGAGCTATAACCACTAATATTTTTTATATGTTACATTTCTTTTTTTGTGGGGGTAGAGGGTAGGGTCAAATCAGGATTTCTTGTGTGGTCTATGTTATTCTGGAACTTGTTTTGTAGGTCAGGCTGGCCTTGAACTCAGGTCCTCCTGCCTCTGCCTCCTGAGTGTTGGGATTAAAGGTGTGCGCCACCATTCCTGGCTAACATTGTGTGTGTGTGTGTGTTTTTTAATTCATTCAATGAAGAAAAGTAGACAGTTTTCTTTCTGTTTTGGGGGTGGGTGGGATGAGGCTGGGAATGGAAACCCAGGGCCTGGCACATGCTGTATAAGTATTCTACCACTTGGCTAGACCTGGGTTTTCCAGTTCCCTTAATGAATAAATAAATAAATAAATGAATGAATAAATAAATAATTTATCGTTGTGTGTGCAATATTCTACCTGCATGCCAGAAGAGGGCATCAGATCGTATTATAGATGGTTGTGAGCCACCATGTGGTTGTTCGGAATTGAACTCACGACCTCTGGAAGCCAGTGCTCTTTGCCTCTGAGCCATCTCTCCAGCCCTCCAATTCCTTTTTTAAAGTCAGATAATGTTTCTCATAAGTATAACATGCTTATGGTTCATCATATGACTCAGCTTGGAGTAACTGTTGTTTTAGGTGTAAGCTGTTTACATAGAAAATAAATTTATTTATTACTTTATATAGCCCTGGTTGTCCTGGAACTCATTATGTAGACCAGGCTGGCCTCAAACGCACAGAGATCGCCTGCCTCTGCCAGTGCTGGAGGAAATTAAAGACGTGTGCCACCACCACCCCGACCCCCTGGCAGAAACAGATATTTATATGTATTGTCTCCATAGAAAGATTTAATTCTCAGGAATGTAGAAACAACATTTTCCAAGCAAAAAAAAAAAATTGAAGCCAGGTAGTGGTGGCGCACACCTTTAATTCCAGCACTCGGGGGGCAGAGGCAGGTGGATCTCTCTAAGTTCAAGGCCAGCCTGGTCTATGAGAGTGAGTTCCAGGACAGGCTCCAAGGCTACCCAGAGAAACCCTGTCTTGAAAAATTTAAAAAAAAAAAAAAATCCTGATTATTGGCAATTTATAGCCGTATCTCATAATTTAAAACTTTAAACTTCAGAAATAAAGATTTGGCCTATTATACTGGAAAGTGAAAATAATTTGCTTTTTTTTTAAAGATACAAAGTATAGATATAAATTTTAAAGTTGTACTGGAATTATTGGGAAAGTTATTCAAAGGCTTCCTTTTAGGTTTTTTGGTTTTTGGACGGGCTCTCCTTGGGTTTTCCCTTCAGTCTGGAGTCGTGGGCTTATAGCCATGTACTAGCCACGTCCCACCCCAGCTGCTGCACTCATCGGATTTTGATGGAGGAGGGAATGTCAATTTCAGAGAAGAAGAAATGTGTATTGTTAGCTGATTCTTTTTTTTTTTTAATCCATTACTAACTTCCTTCTTTCCTTTATTCAGGAAGCAATGAAGTTACAGCAAGACATGAGGAAAAAGAAGCAAGAAATGTTGGAAAAGCAAATAGAATGCCAGAAGGTAGAGTAAGAACTCATCCTTTGCATTCTGAAATGTCACATAGAAATGATTTACAAAGTTATAGTAGCAGAGCTTTAGGGCTTAAATTTACTTAGTTTAGACTTACTTTTTTTCTGATTATTTTGTAGATGCTAATTTCTAAGCTAGAAAAAAACAAAAACATGAAACCAGAAGAAAGAGCAAATATAATGAAGACCTTAAAAGAACTGGGAGAGAAGATCTCACAATTGAAAGATGAATTAAAAACGTCTTCTGCCGTCTCCACACCATCCAAAGTAAAGACAAAGACGGAGGTATCCAGTTGCATTCCTCCTCTAGCAAACTTACAGAACATCTGTGATGTGCTTGGCACTTTGAAAGTGGAGTGCGACCCATAGGCAGCCCCTAAACCAGCTGGTGAAGTTACTACTGGACTAGTAGGAGAGAATCAGGCCACTAGAGAATAATTTGTTTTCACGAATGCTATAAGTTTAAAGTCCTGTTTGGACAGATGCTGGTGCTCGAGTAGACCTCAGCCCAAGTGCATTTTAAACAGGTGTTGTACCAGTGAATATACGTATACATACACACATACATACATACATACACACACACACACACACACACACACACACACATATGGCAGTTCAGCCCTAATGAACTGCCGGATTTGCCTTTTATATGTTTAAAGACCTAAGACTTTATTTAATCTTCAGGGAAGATGTGGTTGTTTTTTGTTCTGGGGAGGTGTCTTTGTTTATATGTGTGGTTTATTTGAAACGGGGGTCTCTCTATAGCCTAGGCTGGCCTGTGCCTTTTGCAAATTACATGAGGCTAGAGAAAAAGAGCTCAGTAGTTTAGAACAAATACTATTTTCCAGGGGACCCAAGTTTGGTTCCCAGCAGCCACGTGAAGTGGCTTCCAGCTACCTCTTCCAGGGAATCTGACACTCTTTTCTGGACTCCTTTAGCACTATGTAAACCCCCATATAGAAATGCACACAAATACATATAATAACAGATAAAGAGCATGTGAAGGCAAATCTTCCATAGCTACCTGAAGACCAGTGATTTATCTGTTACAAAAAAGAGTGGCGATACTTATAGAGTTCAGTCTGAAAGTAATTCTGTACTGTTCTTTATACTATTTTATATTTTATTTAATTAACTAATCATTTGAAAACTGGGTTTCATTCTGTAACCTGAGATGGCTCTGATTTGAGGCCTGGGATTATAGGTGTGAGGCACAGTTGTGTAAAATTGATAAATATTGTCATTGTGCTGGCTGCGTATGCCGTATTATGTCTGTGAAGGTTTACTTCCTCAGAGCACCCATGTCTTTTCTGTCCTGTTTTTTCAGAAGCCTGGCGTTGTGTAGCTATAATGCTCTGAATAAGATCTTAGTGTTTACTTGAAGTCTCCCTTTTCACTGTTAACTTTTCTCAGGCCCAGAAGGAGCTACTAGACACTGAACTGGATCTCCACAAGAGGCTCTCTTCAGGAGAAGACACAACAGAATTACGAAAAAAGCTCAGTCAGTTACAAGTTGAGGTTAGATTTAACTTATATAACATCTCAAAAAATAGATTTTTCTCTTTATTTAATGAAGGTTTAATAATATAGCAATGTGCTTGTTGTGATTTAGGCTGCAAGATTAGGTATTTTACCTGTGGGACGAGGAAAAACCATGTCCTCTCAAGGTCGAGGAAGAGGCCGAGGTCGAGGAAGAGGGAGGGGCTCACTAAATCACATGGTAGTGGACCACCGCCCCAAATCACTCTCAGTTGGAGGATTCATTGAGGAGGAAAAGGATGAACTGCTTCAGCATTTCTCAGTAAGTTTTTCATATAACTCTTGTTAACTCTAAAAACAACGCACTCAGCACTTTGTTTGCTACAATCTATAAATATCAAATGATTTCTAGGATAGTAATGTTAGTTGTTAAAACTTGGACTTTACCAATTTTTTATTAATGTATTTTTCAAGGTCAGGAAGTAGGTTTTTCTCTGAAATTCCTTAATAATCTTTGTAAACACATTTTTGTGGAACAGCATTCCAAAGACAGACTTGATTTTAGGATTATTTCAGTTTACCAGGTATTTCTAGGCAACAGATTAATCTGGAATAGAGACAAAACTCAAATTATTAGGGCAGTAAGCATATTTATTCTTTTTTTTAAAAAATTTATTTATTCATTCATTCATTTATTCATTCATTTATTTATTTATTTATTTATTTATTTATTATGTATACAGTTAGCCAGAAGAGGGCACCAGACCTCATTACAGATGGTTGTGAGCCCCATGTGGTTGCTGGGAATTGAACTCAGGACCTTTGGAAGAGCAGGCAATGAATGCTCTTAACCACTGAGCCATCTCTCCAGCCCCAAGCATATTTATTCTATATGCAGTGTTGACATTCACTACAGACAAGTAGGATTGACTACAGACAAACTTGTACAGTATATTCTCTTTCCAGCTATTTATTCATTAATTCATTTGTTAGACATTTCTGAATTAGAGTTTCATAAATGAGTTTTTGTAATGTTAAATGACTTTAAGTATGAAAAACATGTGAAATTTTATATAGTAAAGTCTCTTAAAGTTTTAGACAGGGTCTCAAGTACCCCAGGTTATCCTCAAACTTCCGTGTATAGGCAAAGATAACCTTGAATTTCTGATCCTCTTGCTTCCATCTTAGTGATGCTTGGATTACAGGCATGTATACACCACCGTGCCTGGTTTTTGGTAGTGTTGGGGATTTAACTAAGGAGAATGTGCTTCCTAGGCAATCACTGTATAAGTTGAGTCTCATCTCCAGTCTCCAGTGATCATCTTTTCTTCAGATTCAACATCAAATCTTAAACTGCCCACTATGATCATACAGATGACAAGTACCAGAGCCAAGATAACCAGGTTTCCAGTTCTAGGCAACTTTTTACAAATTACATTATTTATTTGGGAGTAAGGGTGATTATACCATGACATGCATGTGGAAATCAGAGAACAAATTTTGGGAGTTTCTCTCTTCTATCTTATGGGTGCCAGGGTTCAAACTCAGGTCATCAGGCCTGGTAGCAAGCACCTTTGTCTGCTGAGCCATTTCACTGAACCTCCTCCACCCCCTTACTCCAGATATTTTATTTGAGAACAATATTTGTAACCCCATTCTGTGTTAAAAGACGGTGATGCAGATCATGACAAGGAATGTATGTGAGGGGTACTGGGGAGATAATGTAGAACTGAGTCTGGATCCCTATCAGACGTAAATATAGGCCAGCAGAGTACACCTATAATCTCATTGCTGGGCTTGCTGACGAGTCAGACTAGCCTGTTGTTGAATTAGGGCTCAGTGAGAGCTTCTGTCTCAAAAAAGTAGGAAAATGTACTAGGAAAGACACCATTGTCAGCCTTAGACTTTCACAAGTAAATTCACACCTGAACACATACAGAGCCACAGAAACTAAACATAATATATGCAGTCCAGGTTATCTATAACAACATAGGAACATAGTTTTTTTAGATAGAAAGAGTGGATTTTATTATTTCTTATTCTATATACATGGTCATCAAAATGTCACCAGTTTTTAAAAAATTGCTACTAAGTGGAGATACCTTTCCTTGTTTTCATGAACACTACACACTTCTTTATGACTGGTGTGTGTGACTTGCTTTATTGAACAAATGTGTAGCAACAGTGACAGATGTGACTGCATCATTATATTACCAAATCTATGTAAAATTTTTAATATATCCCTGACCAGACTGTTGATTTTAGCTCTGGTGAACAATCTTACACGGCAAGTAGTTGTGGCTGACCTCAAGAAGCTGATAGACTGACTATAGGACCTGATGGTGGCCTATACTCCAAAGCTAGTAAGAACAGAGAACCCTCAATTCTCTAGCTCCACAGAATTAACTTCTCAGAACTGGAATGTGCTTGGATATAGACTTTCAGTCAGTCAGGCCTCCAGATGATAATACAGCCCCAATGACATCTTGAACACTACCCGATGCTGTGAGCACGGGATTCTGCTAAGCAGAGCCTGGATCCCCACCATGAAATTTAGTCTGGCATACTTTCAGTATTTGTTAGGGAACATAGATCTTAATAGTGTATACCAATAATTGGCAGACTTTGGACCTAGAGAGATGACTCAGCAATTAAGAACATTTCCTACCTCCCCCTGGGATAATGGTTAAGACAGGTTTCCTCTACACAGCTCTGGTTATCCTAGACTCACTGTAGACCAGGCTGACCTTGAACACAGAGCCCCACCTTCCGCTGCCTCCCTCTGCTGGAATTAAAGTGTGTGACACACTGCTGGCTTCAGGGCATGTTCTTGAAAAGGACTCATTTACCAGCACCCGTGTTGGGTAGCTCACAACTGCCTATAAGTCTAGTGCCAAAGAATTTTCTTCTCTTCCCCTCAGGCACTTGTAGACACAAGGCATACACACAGATCTCACACACACACACACACACACACACACACACACACACACACACACATATACACATGAATAAAGACTTTTTTTAAAAGTTGGTAGACTTATTCTTGTAAAGAGTCAAGTTGTAAAATATAGGCTTTTGTGACCTACAAATGGTCTCTCTCATGTTGTACGTTCCTTTCCTCTGGTTCTCTTCTGCTCCCCTCCCTCCCTTTTGTTCATTTTGCTTTTCCTGTTTATTTACATGCTTTCTTGAAGTTTATTGGGATCATCTCATGTGGTCCAGGATAGCGTCTCAAGCTTTCTGTGTAGCCAAGACATAACTAGATCTCCTGTTTATCCTGTCACACCACCAAACTGGCTTTGTTTGATTTCCGAGACTGGGTTTCACTTTGTACTGCTTGCTAGCCTAGAACTCACAATATAGTTTAGACTTGTTTCAAGCTCATGAAATCCCTGCCTCAGCTTCTTAAATGATGAAACCTATTTCTAGTCTCCTTTTTTTCCCCTTTTAGTAACCATTTTAATAAAGTACAAGCTATTTTTAGTTCATAGGGCTTCAGAAGCAGGGTGCTGAGTGAGATACAGTGGTGTGTCCTATAGTCCTCACATTTAGGAGCTGAGGCCTTTAATCCCAACACTTAGGAGGCAGAGGCAGGTGGATCTCCGTGAGTTGAGTCCAGCCTGGTCTCTAAGAGCTAGTTCCAGGACAGCCAGGGCTGTTACACAGAGAAACCCTGTCTTGGGGTTGGGGTAGGGGGATGATCAAAATCAATGAGTCCAGGAAAAGCTTTTTAAAAAGAATATGTTCTTTATGTCACAGGGATCTGAGGACAGTAAAGATCTATTTTTGTTGGTGCTGTTTTTTTTTAAAGAGATTTATGTGTGTACTTGTATACATATATGTGTGTGTGTGTGTACATGAATGTACATGTATGCAGGTGCCCAACAAGGCCAGAAGGGGGCATCACATCCCCTGGAACTGTAGTTAGAAGTGGTTGTGAGGGTGCTGGGAGCTGAAAGTGCTTTTAACCTTTGAGCAGTCTCTCTTGCTCTTGAGTTTTTTTGTTTGTTTGTTTGTTTTGTTTTGAGGTGGAGTCCTATGTAATTCAGGCTGGCTTCAAACTCACCATATCACCAACGCTTGCCTTGATTTACTGATCCTCTTGTCTCTATTGTCCAAGTGCTGCGATTCCAGAATGTGCCACCATGCCTGGCCAATGCTAAAGAGGTTTATGAAGAATTCTCATAGCCGGGCGGTGGTGGTGCACGCCTTTAATCCCAGCACTCGGAAGGCAGAGGCAGGCGGATCTCTGTGAGTTCGAGACCAGCCTGGTTCGAACTAGTTCCAGGACAGGCGCCAAAACCACAGAGAAACCCTGTCTCGAAAAACCAAAAAAAAAAAAAAAAAAAGAATTCTCATTAAGGATTTATAAGTTTTATCCTGAAGCTGATAATTTTAAGTCAGAGAGTCTAGTTTAAAAGACACAAACAGGACAAGCACTTTGACACTTTCCTTCACCCCTTCTTGAAGAGATTTGACTGAATGCAGTATGGAAAATTGTTCTCTTAAATGTTGAGACTGTTTGGGCCGGGCAGTGGTGGCGCATGCTTTTAATCCCAGCACTCAGGAGGTAGAGGCAGGTAAATCTCTGTGAGTTCGAGGCCAGCCTGGTCTACAAGAGCTAGTTCCAGGACAGGCACCAAAACTACAGAGAAACCCTGTCTCGAAAAAAAAAAAAATAAAAAATTAAAAAAAAAATGTTGAGACTGTTTGGAGTGCACAGAGGAATTTTTTAACTAGAGGGCATTAAGTTGTCTGTTGTTGTTTTGGGGAAGGCTCTCACTATGTCACCTCGATTGGCCTGGCATTCACTATGTGGACTAGGCTGGCCTTAAACTCAGACGTCTGTCTGTCTCTGTCTTCCAAGAGCTAGAATCACAGGTGTGTACCACCATGCCTGATTCTAACCACACAATCTTTAATTGTGTCAGTGTGCTTTATTTGTTCTACTCAGTGAGGTAGGGCATGGGTACTTGAATTTTTTTCTCTTCTTTCTTAATTACAAAATAACATATACTTGCCTCAAGATGCATCTGGCTACATGTAACATAATTTGAAAATGTAAGCTATCTTTTTGTGAGTATGAGGTGTATATGTATACATGCATTCCTGTGTTTGCATTTGTATTTGTACGTGACTGTGGAAGCCAGAAGTTTGTTGACATGAACTGTGTTTTCCTCTGTCACTTCCATTTTACTTTTTGAGACATGGTCTCTCAATTGAAATTTGGAGCTTATTGTTGCAGCTTAGACTGACTGGCCAGCATGCTCCAGGGACCTGCTTCTGTCTGCCCTTGCTTTCCTTCCCAGCACTGGGGTCACAGATGCTCTCACTACTCCTAGTTTTTATGTAGTTGTTAGGGATCTGAACTTAGGTCACCAGAATTGTTGACACAGCAAGTGCTTTAACTACCAAGCCTTGTCCCCTGTTTTCTTCTCTTGTCTTTCCTTATATTTTACATTTATTTGTCCTGTGTATGCGATGTGTATGGGCACACATGCTACTGTGTACTGAGCTCAGCTTTTGGGAGTTAGTTCTCCTTTTACCATGTAGACCAAACTCAGACTGTCCCACGTGGCAGCGAGCACCTTTCCTGCTGAGCCATCTCACACCCTCTATTTTCTTCCATCTAAGGATTTTTAAGGAGATTTTAGCATTACTTCAACACACAAGCTCCTACTGTGTTTCTCTCTGCTTTTCTGCTATGTTGACAGATAGCCATTTTTTCCTCATGCTACCAGAATGTCGGCAGCAACCACATACACCACAACTTCCAACAAGAATATCCAAAGGCTAAAAAGGAGGCTGTGTTTCTTATGCCAGTTTTTAAGATACAATAGTCTTCCTAACAAACTTTTTTAACTCCCTCATCTGACTCACAGCCAGTGATGTGTTTTCATGTCAGCCAAAAGTATCACACACACACACACACACACACACACACACACACACACACACCTGCATTGATCCTTTCTGAGGGAAACTTACTGTGATTAACTTAAACTACTCTTGAGTTGCCCTCTAAGCAAAATTGTCCTCAGATTCTGTTGAAATGAAGAAAAGTTAAAGTTGGTGATTGTGGAGCAGTATCTTTCATGGTGTTCATTGAAGAAAACTTAGAAATCTGAAATATAAAAGGAAGTAAACAATACCAACCTCAGATATGTTAGAATTTTGTATGTAGGGTGGGTGGCTGCTGCTTATGACATGGCATCCATATACTAGGAGGTCAGCAGACAAAATTCAGGGGCTGGTTCTCGGGAATCGACGAGGTCATCAAACTTGTGGGGGTGGGTGCTTTAACTTGCTGAGCCATTTCACTGGTCCACCTTAGACTTTTTGTTACTAATTTAACTGTTTTCATAAAACATATATATGTACATCATTTAAGTCTAGAAATATAGTTTAGTGGTACAATGCTTGCACACAGTTGTATATAACATTCACAAGACCATGGGTCCATTCCTTTATATAAAGAAATAAGTTAATAAATAGAATGTCATCATTGACATTTGCTGAGAAGTAGTTAGAAGGTAGCACTGAGGAAAACACTGAGGAGTTAGGATATAACTCTTAGAACATTGCCTAGTGTGTGCAAGACCCTGAGTTCAATCCACATTGCTACAGAAAAGAAAAGAGAAGAGAAGAGAAAAGAAAAGAAAAGAGAAAGGAAGGAAAGAAGGAAGGGAACAATGAACAAATCAAGTTGGGTTGGGACAATGTGACTTTTCTTTTAGACTGGATCTCATTCTGTAGTCCAGACCCTTTCTGGCGCTCACAATATAGCCAGGCTGGTCTCAGCCTCCAGGGTGCTATAGGTGTGAGATACCAAGCCCAGCTCTAATTACCATTTGTTGAATGTAGAGCTGTGGAATTCTGAGCATTTGAGAAAAGAGAGTGAGCATTATGTCTCACATCTGTAACCCTAGTGCTTGGGAAAGTGAAGCAGGAGGGTTGAGAGTTCATCTCTGGAAAAGAAGGTTATGGGGAGGGGCTAGGAAGAGCTTTATCAGACAGAACTGAAAAAATGCAGTGCTGTGACTGACAGGAGATGATCGTCTCAGGAATGGCAGGATTTTAAGGTTTGATATGTGAAATCAAAGTGGGAGGTTGGTCATTGAATGAAGAAAGTATTTGTTATCCTCCATCCTTCCTTGCACAGTAGAGTGACTGTAACACAGCAGTGGTAAGGCACCACACATAGCAGTTGCCTTAACTGAAAGGCCCACCTTACATCATTTTTAAATAGCACAGTGTTTAAAGAAACTATTAGTAAATACAAGTGCATACTTACGTATTCTTTTAAAATACACTTTAGGCTGCAAACCAAGCATCAAAATTCAAAGACCGTCGGCTACAGATATCATGGCACAAGCCCAAGGTACCATCTATATCTACTGAGACTGAGGAAGAAGAAGTCAAAGAAGAGGTAAGTTCAAACATTAAAATAAAATTTGAATTACAGTACTTCCTCTCTATTTTTATATTAAATACTATACATTTAAAAATAGTCACTTTTCTTTCATTCAGTAAGTTAAAAGCACTCTAAAAGTGATAGTTAGCCACTTAAAATATGAGAAGTAATTTTGTATTTTTGTATTCTAATTGGTTTATTTAAGAGAACATTGAGCCCACAATGTCAGTTACTTCTGATTCTGTTAATTTTGCTTTTAAAAGAATCAAGTTTTTCTAGTTAATGAAGTATGTTCTGACTATATGGACAGGTTTATATAACAAAAACAGTAACGTTCCCAGTTTAGGAAGAAAGTAGGTTTTTCATGTTGGTGATGTTTGTAGATACTTCTACTTTGTGTCAGATTTTAGATTTTTATAAAAGATGTGGAATGTCATGTCATGCAGAAAGTTAGCATATCCGCTGCTCACAAATCAGTGATAGATATCCCAAGAAAAATTGGGAAAGTTGCTGATTTTCCTTGCTTTTGTTAATGAGATAAAGTCAGTTTTAATTATTTTTTAATTGACACTGTACATATATTATGTATATATGTACACAAATATATATATATATGTATATACAACACATAAATTGATTAACACTCTCTAAACATCCACTAATGCTTAGTTTTGTTCTTTTGCTTTTTGAGACAGGGTTTTGCTCTGTAGTCCAGGCTATTTTCAAACTCACAAACTGCCTCCTCAGTCTTCCAGGTGCTAAGATTATAGGCGTGTACTGAGATGGCTGACTTCCACATAGTGTTTTATTTTCTTAGTGATATTGGAATGGGAATCTCCTATTAATATTTTCAGTATAAACAGGATAAATAGTCGTATCCATTTTTAAGGTGTGTTTTGGAATATGGGGAGGAAAATGGGTTAGAAGGTATAAAATCAAAGCCAGAGAGAAAACAAATTCTAGTATCCTGTTAGAGAATTAACCACATTTTATGACAGATTGTAATATTGTGTTGCATAATTCAAGATCTCTATTAAGAATGCTAAGTGTTACCATTACAAAGAAACAAACATCTCTGTTGTGTCTGAGTTGATCAGTACATACTTTAACTGTGGCAAGGTAGCACATATTCTCCATATTAAAAGATGGGGTTGTTGACTGGTTGATTTTTTTTGTTTTGCCCTGAAAATAAACTACTTGTCTATTTTTGTAAACTGATAAACTAGTCTGCTAATCACGTGGCTGGTTGACCTTGAGTTTGTGCACAGCTAAACATGTACCTTCCTTTCTTTAGGAAACAGAAACCTCGGATTTGTTTTTGCATGATGATGATGATGAAGATGAAGATGAATATGAGTCTCGTTCATGGCGAAGATGAAATTTGATGCGAGCTGTGTAATTTTTAGAAATATTGTTTAGAAGAACAACTTTTTAAAATTATTTAAAGAAGTCGATGAGCCAAAAATTTTTTTTTATTTTCGTCTTCAACACAGTAGGTTTAAGGACAGCAAGTTGCTATTCAAACACATCTTGTAATTGTCTGTGATATCAAATCACCAAAGGCCATGACTTTATGCAGTTGTGAAGATCTGCAGGAGTGACTGGATTCTCTAGAACCTTACCTTCCACACCATTTGTTTCTGCTCTTGGTGCTGGATTACAATGTAAAGACAGGGTGTTCAGAAATTTTATTTTGGATTATAAATCTGCTGATAAAAATTTCATTAAATTTCAAAATCGCCTGGAATCTCTTAACTCTTAGCTATTATGGATGGGTCGTCAGACAGTAGGAGATATTCATAATTTAAATACCCTTTTCTTTCAAGGATGGTCTTGGAAGAAAAGTTCATTTTTTTTCCCCTATGGAAGAGCCCACTTTATAGTCAGTCTTTTTCAGAGTTTAACGTGCAGCAGTACCTCAGCAAAAGCACCATCTCTGTTCGCAGAGTCTGCAGAGCTCTGGAGCTGGCCCTGTGGTACTCATCCTCTCCTCACACTGGTCTGGGCTCTGCCATCGGCCTTCCTGGTTTTGATATGTGGTGAGCATTGCTTCAGTTGGTCCTCCCTTTTTTTAATCTCATTTTGCCTTTTGCCCCTCATTCATTCCCTGTTATCTTCCTCATCCCTTTTGATGATAGGCCTAACTTTTTAAATAAGTGTTCAGTTGGGCAATCAAGAATCAGTCATCAGTAAAAGGTTTAAACCAGCACCGTTATAAATAAGTGATGTTTTGATAAAATAAAGGCAGAGTTTCAGGGGAAAGAGTTACTGGCTTCCTCCCTCTTAAAAGCTTCAGCATAGTTATAGTTACACAAAAGGGTTAAGGATATCTGAAGTTCTTTTCCTAAACTGTAACCATGATGGTGAGGTGCTGAGGTAGGGGTTAGGAGTCTGCATATCCTAGTAATAAATGAGATTCTAACTTGACATTGATCAGATGACCTTATATTTTCATAATTTTATAGATTTCTGCTGTCCATGAACATATGCATACTTTAGTAGGCAGTTTCCTTTACCGTGTGCATTTTTACTGTACACTGTACAGAGTATCTGTTAGGTAAAATATACGTGTAAATTTATGTCCTTGTGTTCTGAATGTTAGATGGAAAAGCAGAGGAGCAACACTACACTGTACTGACCACTGGGGAAATGAAATGATTATTGTACATAGGATGTCACTTTTACATGTGTGGTGTGAAATTTGAAACTTCCTGTTGGCTGCAGAAGGTTCCTGGTGATCACTAACCATGCCAGGGTTTTTGTTCCCAGAAGTAAAGACTGTTTCTTAAAATAGAAACAGTTCACTCTGAAACCCAAAACCATCAGGACTCTAGAGTTACATAGAGACAAGGCATTAGATCCCACCTTCTGATCATCCTTTCCTCTTCATATTGTCTTGGAATGATGTGTCAAACACCAGGATCCTTTTTAAGTTCACGTAGTTTTCCCTTAGTAGTGGGACTTCTCCAGGTCACTGTGTTTTTGTGAACACCGAGCTGAAGTGAGCCCACTGAGAACGAACACGTAGAACAGGTCCCCTACACTAAGCATCTGCTCCTTACTTCTCCATCATCTCTAATGAATTTCCTTGATGTCTGTGGCTCAGTCAGTATATATTTGGAAAGATTCATTGTGGTGAATATTTTGAGTCCTGACCATTTAAACGTGATAGAGGGAACAAAGGATTTATATATTTTTTGTACAAAGTTTTTTCTTAAACTGTATAATTTTGTAAATAATTTGTTTGGGTTTTTTTCTTTTGTGTACTAAAACTACCAGCGTATAGATTTCAATAAGAATTGTTGTATTTTTGTATTTGGAAACTGAAAATTACAGTAAATTAGTGAAGCCGTAAGAAAGTCTCCGTAGACTGACATTCGACTGAATGAGATTCCTTTTCATATGATTTTTTTAACCTTAAAATTGACATCTGTGTACACTCACTGTAGAGAGAGGTGAGGATTCATTTGACTTTTTGTTCCTGGGGCAGAGGTTGGGAAAGAAAGGTGCTAATGTGAAGACCAGACCATTTTTCACTAAGATTTTGGGTCCCTAGTACAAAACTTGGGGTTTCAGTATTCCTTAAAATTAACTAAAATTCTTTTCCAATGTGTTTCACTCAAAAATGAATTATAAAATAGAGATTAATTACACTCAAGGTTAGCATAAAATAGCTGAATATGTGTATGTGTATCTCTCTCTCCCCTTTGCCCCCTTCCACCTATCCCCAACTGTTAGAATCCACACCACGACTGGTTTCTTGGCATCTTTGTGTATAGAGAAAAGATTTAGCATTTGAGGCAGATTCTGCTGCTCCTAGTGTGTAGGTGCCCATGTAGCAGAGCAGCAGTGACAGCTGCCAGATTTACTACCAGATTTCTGCCCAAACCTGAAAAGATAACACCAAGGAATGTGAATTTTTTTCTCAGTTTCTTCTTGGAGCATTGGGAAAATGTCGCCACCCACTGAGACGCTGGAAAACAGTTTTTTACAGCGAGAAAGATCCCGCTGATGGATGACTATTTCAAAAGAAAAAAAAAAAATCATGTGAAAAGGAATAGTGTTTCCTCTCGATGTATAGTATGCCTGTATTATAGTTTTTACAAGATTGTGAACTTGTGTAATAGTATATAGGAGATATTGTTGGATTTCTAACTGTTTATACATTTAAATTCATATATGTAATGTTTGTTTTATCGATTACAATCTGAATTTCTAAAAAGCATGTTGACTTTTGCAATAAAGATGCAATATGGAATGGTTCACAATTGGGGGGAAAAGAAGAAAAAAAAGATGAAAATATTACAAATTTAAAAGAATCTGGAAAATTTATGAACCATTCCAAAAATTATAACAATCACTAAAAGAGCTGTAATTCTGGCTTGTTCTGGAAAGAAAGAAATATGAGTGTGAGCTTGTTTGTGAGCCTGAGTGAGTAGTGGATGCTTGTGAATGCTCTATGTGCCTGAGAGACTGCCGCTCTGTATGAAGTTGATTCAGTTCCACTGGTTTAAATGTTGACAAGACTTCTTCAGCAGGGTAGTCTGGACAGCAGAGCTGGGAGGTTGGAACAGTAGCTTGCAAGTTGAGTCCCACCAAAGTGAGGGACACTGGGAGAAAAAATGCAAGTTCAGCTAGTAAGTAACCTTAAAAGAAAAGAAAAAGATTGACTTATTTTATGTGTATGGGTGCTCTACCTGTAAACATGTCTGTGTACCACATGTGTCTACCAGAGGTCAGAAGAGGGTATCAGAGCCCCTGGAACTGGAAGATGATGGTCTGCTGCCATGTGGCTGCTGAGGGTCCTCTGGAAGAGGGGCCAGTGCTCATAAATACCGAGCCATCTCTCCAGCTCCCTAGTTAACCTTTTATAACTGTGTTATTGGGTCGTGAATAAGTTTGTATTTCTGCCACAAAGCACAAGCAGTTTAATTAACAAAAACGTTTATTTTGGTGCTAAAGATACTCAATATGCCTACCAACAGAAGGAGAAAGACAAGGGCCCTTCAGAAAAGATTGATTGCAGACACATCAGAGCTCAATGTTCACATTTTGCAAGGATGCACAGGAAAAGGGAGCACCAGGACAGAAAGTGAGAAAGAGGACAGGAATTATGTTACTCAAACACCTGTCAGTTTTTAAATTGATACTATAAAATACTCCTCCAAGTGGCTATGACTTCTCTAAGAATGGTCTTTTTTTTTTAACTTCCTCAAGAAAATACTGAAATATGGTCAGTTCTATTCTTTTCAAAAAATTAGAGGAGTGTCTGTATCATGTGACTGGCACAGGAGTTGCCTGTCAACATTGGTTTTATAGATCACAGGTGATGCCATGTATATTGATTGCTTCTGGACCTTGGTGGGGGCAGGCATTCTGAACATCGCTGTATGTGTCTAAGAGTGACACCATTTTTTGCTAAAATGGAGTTCTGGTTAGCAGAAATTACTGATTTTATTGAAGTTTTTTTTTCCCCTGATTTTGATGTAAATTATACTAAGGCAAAAAGAGAGGGATAAATTTTAGGTCATGCAACCCAGATATGGCCTAGGCAGAGTTTAGTTATCGTAGACATGAACCTGGTGTGTGTGGTTTAGAGTAGAGCACATTGGACCACATTAATCTGAGGGTAGGCCTACATGTTTTATATTTTCCAACTTTTGGAGCTAACCATCATTGGCTCTGACTAACACTGCTATTATGTGTGTTAGAAATGACTTTAACCTCTGCTAGATTGATATAACCAAGAGTTCATGTTTCAAAGGCTCATCTGCCATGTGACCTCTCCAGGTGGCCTTGAGAACAAAAACATGCCAGCGTTTTGAGACAGGTGGCTTGATAAAGGTGCAGTTAACTTCAGAATAATTGTGATTTTTTTAAAAGATTTTTCTTTTTTCTTTTTTTGCCATGGAAATTGTTTGGTAGTCTAAGATAAACGTGTAAAACATTTTTATGTTTATGTCAGATCCTGTTTCGGTGTTTTTTACTCAGTTTTTTAAGTCAGTTTTAGCTTTGCTCATATCTCATAAAAGCATATTGCCACTTCTTCACTCACCCCAGACCACCACTGGGAGATGCCGATACTTTTCAGTTTTCATTAAAATAGCAAGGCCTAATCTGGACCTTGCCGTGTTAGTTTGTTCCTCAAGGAGGAATGAGTCTGTCCGTATGCCGTTTGAGTTCCTAGACCAGATGCTGTCCATCTGTAAACATGTATTTCTAAGTTAAATTCCAGTCCCTGAACTACCTACCTACCCTCCAGCTAGAGTTACTTGCCATGGTATTCGTATGTTAACGGTTAGGGCCTCCAGGGGGCTCCAAAGGGCAAAACATAGGCTTGAAACTGGCAACCTTCACAAAAACCCAGACCCACGTTCTCTACTATGAGCTACTCATAGTACACATAAAACAAAAGTTTGCAAGTCAGTACTTGCTGTGCAGAGCACACTCACTTTTATATTAGACAAGATTTTATGTCTGAACTCCAGTTGGGCTCTCCAATTATAGTTTGAAAACTGGCTTCTTGGGTTACAGGAAGAACTGCATCTCTAAATACTTTCTCACTGTGACATCATCAAAAACATTTTAGCTACTGAATGATGTGTTTATTTTGCTTGGAAAAGTTTCTGGGGCCCCAAACTGACCTTCAGCCTAAAGGTAAACGGGGTCGCAGAAGCTTCTTGGTGCTCTCACCTGAAGGGTGCTTTTACTCTTAGGATTTAAAAGCAGGCTTTTGTGTAAGCCAAAGCAAATCTGCCCACCCCCCTTTTTAAAGCATCTTGTAAGGAACTCTGGGGGATTGCAGTCCTTTTGTTTGCACCCTTTCTCCTGAGTGGCATACAGTGCCGCTGTACTTGGACTGCAGGTAGTTGAAGTCACTGCAAAGATTATTTACATATATAACATGTATATGTATGTACATAACATGAGAGCTGCTTGACACAACTATATGTTTAAATCTGATAATAAAATAATTTTTTGCTGAATTTAATTTTGTACTTAATTTAGAGTTTATCTTAGCCATCAACAACTTTTTATATCTGTGACAAAATTTATAAACATTTTGTCATTGTGCAATGGAATTTTACTTCAAACAGATGCTTTTAAGTCTAAGAATTACAATAGATAAACCGATATATTAAAAATAATCACTTTCTTGGTTTTTTCCCCTCATTTTTAACATTTAAGTATTTCTGCTCTTTGTGTCTCTTTGCCTATCAAAGCTTAATTTTTTTCCTTTAATTATCAGGTCATATTGTTCAGGATCATGAGAGAGTTGACATTTCAGTTTATGCAGAGCGTACTCGGTGAATAGAGCCCATTGGATCTGTGTGATAGAATACTCAGCACGAATGGTATTTGTACAACTCTTGTTTTTAAGGCTCTTGTCCATGTGACAGTCAGACCACACTTCTTGTGCTGCATGGTACCATGCCAATATTTTTGGCTACTTTCAAACTTTCTGGATGACTTGTTTTGAATGCAGATTATGGCAAAGGGCAGAGCAGTTGTCTGCTTTCTGTGCTCACAGCTATTGGGGAAGATGTGGAACACTTATGGCTTTGTTTAGTCTTAAAAATTCAATTTGGGGAAGGGATAAAATGCTTCCCCAAAGTCACACAGCCAGAGTGCAGGGACTAGGATTTGAATTCAGGCCTGTCAACAGAGCTCGTGGCCCCACCTTTGCACTCTGCTGCTTCCAGCATAGTGGGATGCTGCAAGTCTGTGGGATGTCATTGATCTTTATTACGTCTGTCAAATATTGTCATCTTGGCTCCTGTCTCACGCCTCAGACTGGAACCAACATTCCCCAGGGAACACCACCACACTTTTAGATGGCGGACTTGAAACCAGGGAAAGCAGTGTTTATTCATGCTAATTCATGGAGAAACAGTTTAAAGTAATCACTTTCTGTGACCTTTGCAATGTACAGCCAGCCAATTTGATAGATTTTACAATAATTTGTCTATATCGTAACCCGTTTATTTTATTTTCAATCTTATCTTAATATTTTTCCTGTGGCAAACTGAGTTATGATAATCTCGCAGTATTTCTATGTTGCTTCTTTATGTTTTTCAATATTTCTGGTGCCTTCTTTTAACCTTAGCATTTAGAAAATCATGTTGTATATAAATAAGTTGACATGTTTTATTATTGTTTTCATATAGTATACTGAATTTTCGGGACAGAAAGTGCTGAGAATAGCAGTGTTCATTTATAGTTATGTTTATACCCTTTTTTCGAAAGAACAAACTTACTGAATGAAACCATCATTGTTCTGTTTATAATTTTTTGCCTTTTATATACTTCTTTATTTTAGAAGTACTATTTTAAATCTTTGAGGATTTCTACTTTTCACTATTCTGGCCACTAAACAATGTTTACTGGGAGGTAATTTTTATGATATAATTGTCCACTGAAAGAAAAAAAAAGGTAAAATCAGCTTTGAGAAAGAGAATATTTTTAGCCTTTGACAGCACTTACGAAAACTAGGCATGACCTAATTGGTCCAATGAAAAGTATTTTTCTTCAGAAGTGATTGTACTGTTTCTGTGTGTACATGTTTGTTTGTGCGCATGTATTGGTGAATGCATGCATGTGTGTATGTGCGTGTGGCTGCCAGAGTAGATGGCAGGCATTGTTTTGTGTTCCATCCCTTCCCATTTTTGATGTCAGATGTCTTCCTGTATTGCATCCCATCACATTTTTTCATGACACGATCTTTCATCGAAGCTGGAGCTCACTGATTTGGCAAGACTGGCTTCCAGCAAGCCCCAGGAATCCTCCTTCCTCTCCTCCCTGGTGCTGTAATTATAGGTAGGGCTTTTAAGGGATGTACCAGGGATCCAAACTCAGGTTCTCATGCTCAAGTACGTTACTGATTGAGCCCCTATTCTTAGTAATTTTTATGGGCATAAGGAATGTTTCCAGTATGATACTGTTAAAGAAATTGCTGAGGCAAAGGAGACTTGACTGTAACATCCTTACTGCTAATATAGACCTTGCTTTCTCAATGGGAATTCTTCCTAAAAGTACAATCAGTTCTGTTTTAGAAACCATTTCTGTTGTTAA